TGCACACCACATGAGGCAAAACATCAAGCAGGGAGCCTGCCCCGTCAACACCACCACATTAGTCTGCAAGAGAATTGTCTTGGCCACAACGCCTGCCTGCTTTGCCTGGCAATCCGGAGTAAATTTGAAATATCCACACAACACAGGCCTGTTGCAAAAACCCAACGCCAGTTTTTTAGCCCGTGCTTCACTAACTCTGTCATACTCCATTGGTATTAATTAAACGAATAAAACACTTACATCCACTAAAAGGAACGGCCCCGAATGCCTAAGGTCCATATATATTTTCAACACGCAATTAATCCGACAAATGAATGTAACACTGGATACGTGGAAGAAAGGAATGCCCTTAAAATCTCCGGCTTGACTTGCATGACCAACAACACAAAGCGGCCATAGGTACTAACACTACATGATAGGTTGAGCGTTAATGGAAACCATGAATTCTGTAACCGTCTCCCGATATGGTCTTTCACTCCTGTCTAACCATGATATGGTAATACATACGTGGATGTCACACGGTGTGGTCTTTGTGTTCGAGATAAAAGCTAACAACGCAATTTAGTGGTATTCAGCAACACAGGTGTTACACAGAACACACGTATACATTATTCAACTTTATCCTATATACATGCCAAAGACATACCGCCTCCTGAGTGGGAGTAGAATGCTGTGATTGAAAATGAAAATCTAATAAATCTTGCTCCGTGACATGTATCGTGAAAAACTGCATCTATGCTCTCTATTAATTGAGTCTAAATAAGCTGCACGCTCCTAAAATTGCACTATGCAATAGCATGGAGCACAACAAAACCCCCCCCGAATCTGCAGGAATAATTGTGTGTAATGCAGTAAGATGCCTATTCTGTTGGTATGAAAGTGCAAAACCACAGCAAAAAGTTAAAAAAGGAAGACAGGTCCGCAGACAGAGAATGACAGGGTAAAGAAGATGAAACGAGGAGGACCTAAAGAGCAGTTAAATGCCCAAATCGTTATATAAAATACAACTGGTAAGCCTAAACACCTAAATATGGGCATTTTTGACTTATAGAGGTCTGTCCCCTCTCGTTGCTCATTGGCACATGTCTAGCATAGACAATACTTCCATCCTCATTACACAAACATCACATTTGTAGATGGAGGGAAGCTTACGTAGATAGAGGAAGACTACATACCACCAACCAGCCATATCATCAGCAACATTTTGAGACACACAAATGGTCTATCAGTCACAGCAAAACTCGACGCCTCTGTCCATGTCGAGGATGGTGATGTTGAGCAGAGGCTCTGCTGACAAGCAGTTCCATAGCGGAGCGCCCAGGGCAGCAATAGCTGAGAAGACGCTCATCCTTCCCCTCTAGAAGGAGTTGTCCGGAGTTCCGGGCTACACAGAGCACCTCACCTCCGTCTGGTGAACAGACAAGGTGGACACACCAGTGTCGTGGCTCTGCACGCAGCCACTCGATCAGCGAAAAATCCTCGAGACGCGTCAGGCGTATGGTCCAGGGTCCTGTATGCGCAGTTAATCTGGCAATGCAGGGCTTTCGTCAGAGTAGGTGGAGTTGAGAGAGCCGCGACGAGACGAACCCTGAGAAACTGGCGCTGTCTCTCTCATTCTATTAGCCGAAGCGAGTTACTCTCTCTGGAACACTCAACAATTGCGGGAGCTGCTCATTGTTTAGGCATGAGAAGAGAGGTTGGGTCAGCACCGACTGTCCACAGATGGCCACATGCAATAGAGGTCATGACAGACATCAAATATTAATGTGTATCAGTCAAATAAAAAGGACCCTAGCGAGTTGGGTATTGAGCTGATGGAGAGCAACATTAGGTTTAACTGCAATACTGTCCATATGAGGATAACACTTGGTTGGCCCTGAAGTGCTAGCATGGGTACAGTGTCCCCACTCAACACATGGCGGCAGTATTGACAACACACTTGGTCATGTCACACACTCCACCTATTGGCATGGCTATCTGAGAACATCTAATCTTCTCTTCATTGAATCTCCAGTTGCACTTCAGGGCCTCTCCATATGTAGATTTATTAACATGCAACTCTCTCTCTCTCTCTCAAGCACACACACACACACACTGCCTCTAGCTGTCTTTACTGAAAGCATGTAGCCCCAGCTGCTGGTTGTACATGCCCACCCCTCCCTCTCGTCATACCCTCCACATTTAATTAGCACAACAAACACACATCAAAGCTCCAGAATTTCACTGGGGAAATGTATCACTCATACCCATTATGCATAATGCAATACAGTTGGATCGAGACAATACACCGAAGGGTAGTACTGTTTTTATAGACCCTCGTCAAAAAACAGCACCTATGTACGTATATCCCCACATGTATTAAAAAACACACATGTTCACTCACATGTAAGGGCACTACACGTGTCAAGTGTATAGGCTCAGCTTTAACCGAAACACATGTATATACATGACATGACACACACACACACACACTCCACTATGCCTTGAAGTGCAGCATAGCTTAATTGGCACAATTGCTACACGTTGGGCAGGTGCATGTTAGTTTTAATTGCGGTAGAACAAATTTTGGGCAGGCTGGAATGATGCCTGAAACCACAACAGGGATGTCCATTTGAACACGAGTTGTATTTTTCGACGAACTACATGCATTACTACAACTTTCTATCACAGATTTGCTATGATGAGGTGTGCGCGTACCTAGAATTACAATTAAGTGTGTGAGTGAGCTAGAATAGGCAGACAGACCTCCCACTGGGATTTAGGTTGTACTACATCTATACACCAAAGCTACATACAGCTTTGGTGCCCGCTGAGCTATGTATAATTATTATACAGTTGACAAAACCAATACCCTTTGGGTTGCGAATCACCTCTATTTCTCAATTTCTTCCGGATCACTTCACTACTTGCCAGGCATGCGACTTTATGCAGGCAATGAAATCATGCACAATGACTGCTATTATAAATATGTACGTCAAACAATGCGTACCATCGTTGGGATCGTAAACAATGTAGACGCAGATCGGGATATTCTCCAGTGTGCTACTGATCAGCTGCCCGGACATCCCTGTCACAAAGACGTAGAACCTCTCCTGCGCCTCGTACACCGAATCGTCGTAAATCCGTACTCGGCACCTGCTGCTCGTCTCTCTGGGCCCAAATGTCACCGACTGATTGATTCCTTCGTAGTCAACGTTGTCAAAAGCCGTGTCGTACTGCGTGATACAAGAGACCGTCACCTCCGAGTCCACGTTACCAGATCGAGTGAGCTCCAACACCAGCTGGCCTTCCTGCTCTCTCACATTCACACCTTTACTGCACCCAAATGCCACCGGTCCGTTAGATCCGGTTGTAACACCCACATATGCATCTGCAGCAACAGAAATGAAATATTTTGGTTGGGGGTGGAGGAAAAGATTGATGAGGGACATAAAAAGAGAGAGGAATGAAATTGATTGCCCGTTGGCACCAACAACAACCACAATTGAAAAGCATTGTCCAGTCAAATTGGCTGGGCTGCAGAAAAGGACAAAAACAAGTGCAATATTTTGGCTGGGACTGTGGACGACCACTTTTGGTGCCCTTTCAGTGCACTGGACACACATGGCCTTGTGTAAGTTGGGGTGGAAGAGCGGGGAACTTGGAGGGACACTAGACATCAAAAGCATCGGGAAAAAGTACCATGGTTCACCATTAGTGTGTTATTATTATGACGGCAGCAAAGCATACTCCCCATTACCACCCTACAAATTGAGGACGTGGACGGCACTTGTTGAAATGAATGAGGCAAATAATTATTTTATTATCACGACACCACCCACACATGTGTGCAAGCCCTGAAAGATTATAATTAATTAGCCCAGTATGTTGATAGGCGGCGGCTTCAGCATGCCCAGTGAAGGCCTCTAGTGGTCATTATGGCTCTAATGCACGGTCATAAGGTTTTATGCAGCATTCACACATTTTAAAGATGGTTCCTCGATCCCCTTGTTACTATGGCTCTTGTTCTTCTCTCATATTGCCAAGGTGCAAGTTGACCTACTTCGACAAATGCAACACATTAATTTTTGGCCAGGTGAATGCAGTTTTTATAAATATATTATAACACTATGGTATGTGTGACAGTGCCAGGTGGGATATAATGAAATATTCCTGCATTCTTGGCATAGAGGGCTTCACTATGGCTCTTTGAGTCTATAATCAGGTGTATATATTATGTGTAAACAAACTCACAGTCAAGGGTGTCGTCAATGATAATTTCCATCGGTTGAGCCAGGCTCACGTTGCTGACGCAGTTGCCGCAGTTTGTCACGTGGAGCAGGAGCTGCTCGGGACCCTCCAGCACAAAATCCTGTCTCGTCCGTACCATCACGCTCGTCTCGCATTGACCGGGCAGGAAGGAGAGATCGAGGGAGTCGATGCAGGCATCCTCTGTCTGCAGTGCACCTTCGTTTTCACCGTTGATGCCACTGCCGCAGTTGGAGGTGCTGAGGGTGGCATTGGAAGCAGGTGAAACAGCCAGGGTGAAGTTGGATTCGTAACCCGGGCACGTTCCGTTGTCCACTTGTCTCCTGCAGCAAGACAAACACACACCTTTTGCCATCCGTTAACCGCGACAGATCAAAGAGAAATCAAATCAATACAGTGCATCATGGGATGCCAAGAGTATGTGGCGTCTGGTTGGCTGCCATATGTGCATGCATGCATAATTGCATCGCATATAGAAATTGTAGCATTTCACCCACATCTGAGGACATCAGACATATTAGTGGGGCCCGAGTGGTGCATTGCTTGCCACGTTACTGGCCGGTCCCACGGACAATATATAAAATGAACTAATCTGCAAATGCTCTCTATGATAAAATCTAATAGTGTTACACCAATGCCCCTGAGGGCCCCCTTACGTAACTCCACCGTGCAATAGCGGTAACAGACCAAATATGTGTCCTGGAAAGGCATTTGAATCAGAAGAAGGTTGCCAAGCGTGGACAGCAACATGTAGTGTATTGCCATTTCATGCCCGGAGGGGAAAAGGTGGGGCAGTGGCATAACTACACCTTTCACGACTCCAGACTCCCATTATGTGGCTCCTACACAGGTCATTATGCAACACAGAGTAATTGAAGAGGCTGGGTACCGTATGAATGGGATATAGACATACCATTCTAAACTGGTCACCAACAGCCAGTAGATAGTTGCATTCTATTTACTGAGTCTCATGTGTATAGACGCCACTAATGTGGTTGGAAGTAAGATGACAAGAGCCAGGTCCAACAAATGTACATTTCATCATGATAGAATATCCTGCAACCATCCACCTTTTTGTTCAGATGTTATAGCTTAGTAAACCATTCTCCTTAACCCAAAAACCATCAGGAAATGGGTATCTCACGGACATGCTGCCACCGAATGAGCTCTATAGTTCTAATAAACGCCTGCCGCATGCCAACCCAATCATACATTTGTATAGGAGGTCAAGTGTCATGACACGTGCAGCAAACAAAGCAACACAGAGCATTTGAGCACACCAGGAATGCATACACAGTGTACGACACGAGTGATTAAGAGCCTGTTACACGATCTACAAAGTGAATAAGAGCCAGGTGCACTTGGATAAGTCTTGCGCGAGCCAAGGCGAACACAATTTGTCCACAAACGATAGGGTTTTACTGCCAGTTGGGTACCCTCCCAAAGAATTAATTTTTCTGAACCTTACTGCTCTTGTGATCTACCTTTTGATTGCAGGAGTGGATCCAAGGAGGTTAAAGCACGCAGGTGCTCAGTTATGTACTACAAGTGTGCCACACCCTGTACACTAGAGCAGGAACCGGCAACACCCGCTTTCGAAACATCTTGACAAGATCTATCAACTTCTAGCAGTGATGGACCTAACAGCATGCTGACTTTCAACTCACAAAAGAAACCTTAGACCATATTCTGGCAGTTTACAATGTGTTTGCTGAAGAAAGCTTCCAGTGTGCTGGGTTTATGCAAGCACACTTGTATGTATGTGCACATTATACCTGAAGAAGATCTCGAGTGTTGAGGCGGACTCGGAGAGGAGGTAGGAGGAGCGAACGGGGTTCACCCAGCTCCACACTATGGCCATGGAGTGGTTGTAGACGGTGTTGATGAAGAAAGAGGCATTGCTTGTCTCAAGGAGGATGGACATGGTGAAGGAGTCCGAGCTACTCACCCAGATCCACCAATTGTTGGGCACATAGTAGATCTGACCTTCTTGAGCCTCTTGCAAGTAGAACTCCGTCACCTGCAGCGTAAAATATCAAAATTTTCATCCATCCTGCCAACACCCTCAAAATGGAATTATCAGCATAGTTTATTGATGCAAATTAATTGCCAATCTGACTGAGCAGACATTAACACATTTGTGGTAATTGCTTGGGTAGACAGTGCACACGGAATTATGATAAATAAGAAGTATGCTGACAAAGGAACGGCTGGCTTGGCACACATAAGGGGCTTTCCCTCAAAAGACCTCTAATAACTCCTTAATTCTCCCTCTCCCCGTTCTCGACCTATCTCCATTCTCCTAGTCTCTCCCATCACTCACGGGCTGCCCATGTCTCTGAATCAATCCTTTCCTCGGAGACTCCTTGACGAGGATCTTGACACTGATGTCTCTCTCACTCAGGCTCGGTGTGCTGTCCACCCGGATGTCGTCTCGCTGGAACACGTATCCAAACCTCCCCAGCTCAGGTATCCAAGAGAGGACATAGACATCGCGAGTGTTGAACACGGTGTGGATCCGAATCTCTGTTGGCTGGAGAAACGTAACCTCGTAGTCAATACTTATCTTCCCATTTAACTGCTCGCTGGGGTCGCGAAAGTTTTTGGGATCTGACAGGTAGAACTTCATGGTCTGTGGCTCATTTATCCTTCCTTCAGTGATCGAAGAGGAGTTTTGGTGCCGCTCACTGGCCATGTACCACAGCCTCCCATTCATAACGTCTTCAGCACTGAAAATACTGTCGTTCCTCAGCTGGACAAATGTGTGGAGTGAGGGTTGGAAGAGGCGAAGGCGACCTTTGGTGGGCTCTGCCTTTCACCATGAACTGCACAAACTGGGGGCAAAAGTCGCTCAGCACCCGGAAGTCCTGTGAGGTGAAAACAAAGTTCTCTTGTGCCAGCACTGACTTTGCCACCTCCCACAGGCCGAGGAGCTCGTCTTGTCGCTGCCTGATTGCGATTGCAACCGTCTCAATCACACTGTGGGTAGAGTTTGAGGCTGAGAAGGTGAAAGAATCACCGCAGCTCTGAGTTAGCCCAAAGTAGCGATACTGCAGACGGTTACGCCTCAGCTCCTCAAAAGTATAGGAAGGTGTGCCGGTGGTGGTTTGGGGTGTTGGGTTTGGCATCACTAGCTCGCCAAACTGTGGAAGAACTAGAAGATGGAACCTGGCGTTCCGGAGAGGTTTAATGGCAGAGTCGCGGAAGAGGCTGGGTGGAATTGTCAGTGAACCCTGTGGTTCAACCCACAGCTGCTCCTCTGATGTGACAAGTGGATTCACCCGAGCGGCATATATTTGAAACACGCCAGTGAGCCGCTGAGCCAAGCCAACGTTCCGATAAACCACTTCGAATGAAAAGCTGTCATTATTCTGGCGAAGAAGTTGGTGGGATTCACTGTCTGGTCTGTATACTATTTTGAACCTGTCCAGATCAGTCTGTGTGAATTGAGGAAGAGATTGTGTGCAGAGATCTGACTCTAGAGTTGCAAAACAGATATGGCCGTATTGAGGCGGCTGCAGCACTCGATACGCGATGGCGCTTGGTGGGCCAACGTTGCTGCAGCGTGTGTAGAGGAAGGTGGTGGTGATATACACTGCATTTTCGGCCGATGCGACAGGCAACGGCTGGTTCTTCACTACCCTGAGAAATTCCCTCGCACTTGAGAGCAGGAAAAACTCCTCCAGAGGCACGGTTGAATAGAGCACAAGGACTTGCATGGGACTATGTATGGAAGTCTGCTGTTGAGTCTCGTGTATGCTTACTTCCAGCCAATTGGTACCAGAGCAATCTGGAATGTACCAGATGAGGCCGCGCTGTACTTCGTCAATGGAGAACTGTGTTGCAGTCTCATGTGGGACAACGCTGTCGGAGACCATGTACGGTGGGAATGGGTTAACCGACAATGTGTCCAGGTCACGGTTCAATCTTACAACAGCTCCATGTGTCACATTAACATCAAAGCGGAGGCCGCCGTTAGAATACAAGGGGTTATCGAGCAAAAGTGGTGATGCCCTTCCACAGAATGTAACGAGTGTACTTGGCTGCACTTTCAGCAGGGGGTACCACCGGTCACCTATCTCAGGGACGATTAATAGGGTCATGCCCAGCTGAAAAGTCCTCCCACTGCATGTTATATTCCATATGGTTGCATCTGAAGTGGTGCATCTACTGCCGTCGTGTTGATACAACAGCGACCCATTTCTGAGAAGACTGTGAGAAAAGGTTTCACCAATTACAAGGTTTCTTCCTTCTTCTCCACCGCCTGAAAAGGTCCATGTACCATAATTGGGTCCCCTGCTAACAGTGACAAGTGTGTTCTGCTCACAGAAGCTGTCAGGCTCAATGTAGAACTGCAGGTGGCCGTTATTCAGTGCGACATGTCCACCCAACTGCACACGTGGCGAAGTAATAAACCTGAGACTGGGGTAGTTCCAGTCTACTCTGAACACAGTCACCTCGACCGCAGACTGTGCCAGCATGTGGTTGGCATAATCAAAGATAGTGTAGTCATAGGTGTTACTCGTGATTGTGGGTGGAAATGCGGAGAGTGTCTCATTTGGTACAAACACCACGGTCCCGGCAGCAATGTCCTCACTTGTAAACTTTGTGATGCTGCTCTGTGGATTGCTCGGAGTGTAGGGAGAGATAAAGGCTCCAGCAGGTAACACGGGGAAAACATAGATACACTGGTTGGAAGAATGAGGGCAGGGGAGGGTGTCGAGGGAGACTGGCATGTGCGAGAACTGCAGCACCTGCAGAGACGTGTTCGGGAGAGCCAGGGGCTCTTCTGTCACCGTCAAGTTTGCAAATAGCAGGACTCTGAGCAATTCTGGCATGGTTGGCACCGTACCAGTGACCTCTATTAGGATCGATCTGTTTTGGTGTGCATCCTCTAGGAGAAGGAACGGATCCTGGGGTACGTATCCACAGGGAAGGGGACTATCAATTATTATTCCCTGGACCACAGCAGTTGGTAGCAAAGATCGCACTAATCTGTAATAGCATTTTCCTATCCATTCAGGAGGAAAGACTGGAGTCAGTTGAGTGTATGTATAACCTTCTGAGGGCCAAGTAGTGGTCTCTAACTGCACTAATCTCCCATTGTAATCCTCCACGACAATTTCCACTGAAAGAAAACGCAGATGCTGCTCTTCACCTGTGCTCCCATTTCTGCTAGCCAGTAGCTGTAAGTGCAACAAGTCTCTGGTCGACGAACAACCGTAGTGCTGGTAAACCAGTGGTCCCGGAGCATCGCAGCTCACCGACGACGGGCGGAGACTGCCGCACGATAAATGCGTCGTGTGCGGCACCTGACGGACGGCGCAGTGCGTCAGTGTATGCCGGTCCTCGTCTAGTCCAGTGATAATCGGGTTGACGTCCGTTGCTAGTCCTCTCCTGACGGTCACAGTTGGTGCCAGTCGGACGGACGGCCACGGTATCCCGCCCGCGGGGAGGGCAGCAAGGAGAAAGATGCGGAAGCAGAGGATGAAGAGAGCCGTTCCGCCGCAGCTCCGCCGCGCGCAGCCTGCGACCATCGCCGTTACCGGCCCACCAATTCAACAATTGCTACCTCCTCGTCCCGATCGCCGCTGCCGCGGTCGCTGCTGAAGATGATGATCGCGATCGAAAGCGCGACATGTTTGAATACAGCCGATTTTACACGAGTGGATTGAACATCCCGCATTCCTGGGCGCCCTAAACCGTCAGCCAGCCCAGGTCTGTGCCAAGTCGCAGAAAACTGACGCATGCGTTATGCCGTCGAAATTTACGGTATACCAAAAAGGTATACCAATTAAAGCTAGACACTGCAGGAAAGTTTTTCAGTTGCGTCTTGCCAATACAGTGCTATATACACCGCAGGAAGAATCTTTTCAAACTCACCCACAACTCCAAAATGGGGCTACATTTGCCTTCCTAGACACTCAGTAATTAAACAATCTGTAGAACATTAGCTAGCTATAGCTGTAAGGATTGGGTGTGCACCTTACTAAAATTTTGTGTGAGCATGATCATCGAGTTGCAGCGTGGGAGTTTGTGGCTACTAGTCTATAAGCCAAGAGTGCATCACTATGGTAAATTCAAATGCCTTACAAGTAAGTTTTGCCCACACACTCTATGTCAGTGCCAAGTGGTTGCTGCACATATTAAAATGGGTGAAATTCCCATCGAATGAGCAAAAAAAGAGAATGTATTAAATTCATACAGTAAATGGCTAGAAAAATTTATGTAACGACAATGCACATCAATTACTCTGCACAGTCTTGACAGAACCATCAGCACTACCAAAGTATGCCACTTTTGCCATTCCCACAAACAGTCCCGTTTCCACAATGCCTGTAATACATAAATACCCCCACAAAAACATGAACATAGTTTGAGTCAACACTCTCACTGCTACAATATGCTTTGAAAATATCCTGCCTATATAATTGTGTACAGTGAACCTCCGAAAAAGGACCCTCCGACTAAAGGACACCTCTCTACAAAGGTTGACTACCTATGAAAAAGGGACATCTCGATATTTTCTGTGTCCCCAAGGTTTCCTTTACTCAGAGGTTGCATTCCATTCCCATGACCAACACCATAATTCAATATTGACCTGGGATGCCCGAATTCGAGATGACAGCTGAAGCCAATTCTTACCCTGCATAAGAGAGAAGATCAGACAATCAAGGCCACATGCACCTGCTATAAATGCACCCTCCTCCTCACACACGTACAGCCTAAAGTGATTTCTATAATCATATCAAACCTTTTCAGCAATGAACTTCCAGTCTAGTATGAGGTTACCATTGTCTGTTATGACTGGGCCCTGCATGAGTCAATGCAGACAAAGCTGACAATACACCTCGTGGCAGATTGAGTGTCTGGTTGCTTACAGCCTTTTGTTTGGCTATTCTGAGCTCTGCTGATCCTCCCATGGCCTCTAGCTTCAACTGGACTGGTTTGTAGGCAAACGGCAGAACTTCAATGGGAAGACCCTTATGCCACTAAAATTACAACAGAAAAATTAATAGTCAATTTCTGTTCTTCCACGATGGAAATCCATACATAATAATACTCAGGTGGCTGCCATAGCACTAGAGCCATAGACCATGCACCCAGAGCAATGGGCAGAACTGTTAACAAACGAACATATACCATATAAACATGAGGTGTCTGTCTCACCTCCCAGACACCTCAACTCACCCCTTCCGCCAGCGACACCCTGCAGCTCCCTAGACGCAATCTGAGACTGGGTCTGTTGTACGCTGGGATTATCGCCATATAACCTAACCTTTCTTAGCTCCCAAACATCCAAAATAAAACCTTTAAGCAAAGAACCAAATTTATCCTCCCACAGCTCACTACCCAATATAAAGGATGCTTTCCTGAAACTATCAAGCGACTGGAAATGCTCAAACCCATCATCCCCAGGGCAACTAAGAAATTGCTCCTAAGACTACTATATGCTGGACACTCCCACAACACATGACTCACACTTTCACACTCATCATCACACAACAGGCACTCCTTCATCCCCTCCCTCCCCCTATGCCTATATACCCAGTTCCTCATTTGGCCCATGCGTGCCTGACCTGAACTTAAACATCATGCAACCACTCTGCCTTGTCAAGACCTAATGATGAAAAGAGATCATCAATGACCTTACTCCAACAACTCCTCTGCCTGCCTCTCCGTGGCTTAAAATTCCATTCCTGGTTAAAAAGCTTCTTCGGATACCTATTGCCTGGCAATGCCGCTAACTTATACCACCACTTAAACTTATTCTTATCCCTACACCCTTGTAACGTATCAAGCCCCATATCCCCCTTAACGGCTTCATTACATGTCTTAGACGAACACCCAAGAATAAATTATGCTTAGCGGAAATCCACACATAATCCTCAACTAATCAAACGCCGGCGCACCTAATCATTGAGTTGTATACATAAAGGCCGATCCATGCAAGATTTAGTAAAAAAGGAGGGGCTCACAAGGTAAGGCCAACTGACCTTTTCTCCCAGGTATGTGGACTGTTTAGAGTCATCGGCAATCACCACAAATGTATTTGCACTGGCAGCCACCACCTTCTCCTGCGTCTGACACCCACTGAATGTGTGTCCATAACAAATCATAGCAAATGAGCAGGGTTTTCCTCACCCTCCTCCTTTGATTAACGTCAATTGGGGGTCCACCTCATCAGCACCATCAATTGCCACATCCAGCTACACATTGTACAATGATTTTTTCATCACGCTGCAACAGAAGGAAGTACGGAATGGAGTTGCTCACCTGTGGATGATTCTCCAGATCACTGAGCTGCAACCCGTGCTGGATTATGAGCTGTCTTGCCTGCAGTCAGTGAATGAAAGGGAAACTATAAAATAGCAAGGATTCGTTACACAGACACATACGAGGCACCGTTTGTTCCAAAACTCGCGATATTTATTATAATTTATGTACCGCTCTATTTGTATATTGACAGTGCCGTTTATAGTAGACACACGGCCGATCCTGCTACATACACACCTGGAAAGATGTAGGGACACAGACAACATTCATGTTCTCTGCTTTCACCCTTTCAGCTGTAGGAGGGAGAAGAGAACATATTGTGATTCTACGGAATATTTTGTCACTAACCCAGCCTCTCCACGGCAAATACAATGGTAGAGCCACTCCCTATCCCAATCTTTTGCTTGTCCTGAAAAATGTAACAGTAAAGCTAGACGGTAAGAGAATTGCGTGCATGCGTCTTCCGACCTTGACCCAATCGTTCACTGCTTTCACGGCAGCAGCTTTCTTCCCTGCCGCAAGGTCGCTCATGGCTCTCAAACCAGCAGCAGAACGGTAGCAGAACGAAAATCCACCAGGGCTGGCTCTCAGCACAGCTGAAGCTGCAAACATCAGCATCCGGACACACACCCCTCAACCACGCCTACACAATGACGTAATTTTTCTACACGTGACTTATTAGTGACACGTCACACAAGTTTTGTTAGTCTTTTTAGAGGATAGCCAGTGGCCTCTGCAGCCGGGGAGCGGTGCCGGCTGCGACCAGCTTCTTCTCGATCCTCTTGTGTGACCATACCTTGTCTACAGGGCGCTGCAAGTTTGTACTTCTGCTGGAGGGGTGTGTGTGGTCATGTGATAGATCTTGCACGAGGTATATTGTTTTCGTCTGCTGGCTGACGGCGGCTCTGGAGAGATGAAGGAGTCGTCTCTAGTGGTTCTGGCGCTCCAGCTGGTATCGCTGGCCGTGTGCATGCTGGGCTCCTCCGCCAGCGAACACCCCCTGGCCCTCACTGGTAGCGGCAGCGCTGCTGACGGCCTGCAGAGGTGCGTTTTATTAGCACAAATCTATGGATTTGACATTACCCCTTGCTTTCCGTCCCATACAGTTGTAGCATATTGTTTACTGCAGTCTAGCGTGCATATTACACTATAGATAGATTCAATAGGGCATGTACACCTGTATACTCCACTGTGTAGGAACAAACTGATGGTAGTCATACACCTGTATGGTGTCGTATTACAGTGGGGTATGCTGTCAGCTATTGACAGAGGCTGCATGTAACTGCAGGCACACAAACACTGTTTGAATCATAATTATGAGTGTACAGTGTGCTTTCTTCTTCTGCTGCAACAACACGTGTCGTTTCCATTGTGCAGACTGTATGTGGTGAGCGTGGATGGTGTAGTGAGTGCCCTGGACTGGGAGGGCCACCCGGTCTGGAGCTACCAACTGGCCCAGCCTCTCTTCTCCTCCACACTAAACTACAAGGTTTGACACGTTCATTAATTGAACCTATTACCAACCTCAAACGTCCTACACACACACATGCACTCTATCGCAGATAAACACATCTTTGGTTGCTAGCATTCACAGTGTAAGCATGCAATCATGGGTATGATTAATGCATTTTGTAAGCAGTTAAATTTTTTTGCGTATTTAGAATCCCTTAAAACACTACGGTATGTGCAGTGCCTATCGGACGTCAAAAATTCCAGCATTCAGACAACAGGCAGACTCACTTTGCAGGCTCACCAGTTGTATACATCAGAGTGTGTGTTCTGTGCAGGCTGAGGCTGGAGTCCCGCTGCTGGTTCCAGGACTCAACCGGGCCCTCTACAACTGGGATGGAATCAAGCTAGAGGTGCTATAAGGCAATTTGTTTATGTTTACACTGTACACATGGCATCAGGTGTAATGGCAGTTGATGCTACATAGCTGCATGTACGTACTAGTATTGTGTTGGCCTTACAAGTGCAATTATACACGTGGCATGCAAGCATGTGTGTGTTATGCTTGTCTTGTTGGTGCAATCCCCTATCTGCATAATATTTGTGGCAACTTGTAACTGCAAGTTTCTTCGTGCATTATGTGGGTGATACATGTACGTCCTCGTGTCCATAGCAACTGAGTGTGATGGCGGATGACATCATCGACCAGAGTTTTCCCTACGGAGAGTCTGCAGCTCTGGCTGGTGCAAAGTTCAGAGAAGTCGAGACCTTGGACACTTTCACTGGCCAGGTACGTGTGGCACTCTCCACTAGCAGGAACAAGAGTTCAACTCCAGGAACAAGAGTAGTACAATGTATCCAAACGAGGTTGATATAAAACCTGGTTCATATAGGCTCTCTCTCTCTCTCTTCTCGCCACCCTGTTAGCTGGTGTACCAGTGTTCTGCGTCCAAGTGCTACCAGTCGGAGGAGCAGTCCGTCCCGCCACAGTGGATGCAGCTGCTGAAGGCCTCCAGCTACAGGGTCACTGTCAGGCTGGCTCAAGAGATGACTGGGGAGGAGATGTGAGCAAAATATACATGTACAGTTACCTCAAACTCCATTAGGACACCCGCTGCAGTTGGTGTGTGCTTTTGAGTTCTCAGCATAACATTTTTAAGAACCTCCTTCTTTTGTTCTTTACTGTGTGAGCGTTGTCAATGCGTGTCTCCATCATGCAGTGTTCAAGGCCTCAATACACATCACAGCCTTAATACACATCCTCATACACATTTGAATACTGTAGTGGACTATATAGTGTGCTCATATTTGTATACTGTACAGGTGGAACTTCACGGTAGGGGAGGTGGAGCTGTCGTTAGTGGGATCAGCTCCTTGGGCCGGGGAAGAAGGAGACGTAGGAGGTGCCGAGTACGGTGGGAGTGTTTCGGTCAAGGTGGACACAGCCCGGGGCGTCTTGTATGGCGAGGGGGAGGGGGAGATGGGGAGGTGGAACCGGAAGATGTCTGCACCCATCACGTCTCTCTGGGTGCAGGACGGACTCCGACTGATCCGTGTCAACCTCTCCAGCCACAGTGTCCTTCCGTCCTACCAGAGACCCTCTCTCATGATGGGTGGGTGAGCCCTGGTTCACAAACTGCCTCGAAATCCTCGAAATCCTAGCTTCCACTATATATTACGGGAGGGGAGGGGAGAAAGAGAATGGTGGGAAACTTTCGATGAGAGTACATTTGCGAAAGATTTCTCCGCAACTAGTTGTAGATGGGAACTTTTTGTTGATTTTTTGCTACCAAATCTCAAATTATTGTGCAGCCTGATCTTTTGTGGGAGAAACCTAACAACTTGGGAGCCATCTGCAAATTTTGTTTCTCTAGCAGATACGAGCAACTTCTTGCTTACCACTGTACTGGCATAATTAACCCTCGGCGCGCATGCGCAGCGAGGGTTACAGTAGTTGGGTTTGTCTGTCTGTGTGTCTGTTACTCTTCATCTCACTCCTCGAGTGTTTTTTCGTCTCACAAAGGATACCACCTACCGAACGGGCAATGAAGGTCAGAAATTTCGAACGGTTTTCTCTGAAAACACTCCGTTGCAAAGCTAGAGCGCTTCCACCGTTGTACGGCTAATGCGTAGTCGGCCATTTTTATCGCTGCGGAAAATGCGCATGCGCTTATATTTAGCACAGGACCGGGTCTTCTTGCTCTGTGTATTTTGAAGGCACAAGAAGTCACAACGAAGGGCGTGTATCGACTCTCGCATGCTAATCTACTACTGTAGCTACTCTCTGCGAGCTATATACTAGCGGGAGACCGCGCATACTAATATACCGCGCATGCGCAGTTCGCCGAGGGTTTGCACTTCAGTGCTTTTCATTGGTGATGCAATTCTGTGGCATCTGATCTTCTCAAAGGGAAATTCCTCAGGAATCTCCCTCTGGTGGCCTAAAACAACTCTAGTCTTGTGATGTGATATATAGGCCTTTTTCTGATGCAATTTTGTTGTAGATTGATGCATTAATGCTCACTTTCCTTCCCCCTCTCTCTCTTCACTCTGTCTTTATCATTCTCTCTGACTCTCTCTCTCTCTCTCTCTTATCGCCATTGCTGCTGCTTGCCCTCTCTCTCCCTCCCCTCCCTCTTTCCCCTCCCCTCTCCTCCCCCCACACACCTGTCTGTCCAGTCCACTACAAGGAGAAGTTCTACATCCAGCCAATGCCACTGCCTCACAACTCTCAATCACCCAACCTCTACTCCCCTATCTCATACACTCTCTTAGGAGCAGTGGAGGTGAGCACAATTACGTACAACCGCACTATTCACACATAGGTGGATGTGGGGAAAGATTCTCCCAAATCTCTCGTAATTTTATGATTTATGAATATCTATCCAGTGTTTGTTGCACGAAGCACATGCATGTAAAATCACGTAAACGTTGCACTCTACAGATTTGTACTTGCACTTTCTCACAAATAGTGTGTTTGACCTGTTTTGTTGTTCAATCTGTTCTCCCTCTTTTAACCCCGACTCCCTTGCCCACCTCCCTGTATCCGCTGTGGCAGGCAATGGCAGCTACTAGGTGGGGGAGAGACAGAGAGAGAATGAGAGTGGAGGAAGAAGAGGTCGAGGAAGACAAGTTTGAACTGGCTCTCTATCGCAACTCCGACCTCTTTAAACTCTGCAGTGAGCACTCAGAGGGTGGGTCTCCCTACATTCATAGTACACACATACACACTTACATATGTAAGTGTATGTTGGACGACAGTACAGAACCACTGCTGAGTATACCAGTAACTTTATAGCATCTGTAAGTAATACATGTATGTATGTTGTGGTGTTGTACGACATAAGTGAATTGCTGCGAGTGCCAGTTGTGCCGTGTGTCAAGGTGTATGTAACTTGCTGTTGTTAACTCAATAATGTGCTCCATTTATGTTTGGTAGTTGGATGTATACAGCGATAATATGTAAGTGTTCCTACTAGTGACGTGTGTACACTTACGTATGTTAACGGTATGTGTGTATGCTTATAAGTGTGCGTGTGTGTGTGTGTTTGTACGTAGTATGACGAACACTCTACCTGTAATTTGCCGTACAGTTGCTTGCACCGTTACCAATGTATTACATCTCACTGTACTGTACCGTTTGTCTGTGTGTCTGCCAGGTACCTCGGTGTACTTCATGGCAGAGGAGATCTCCGAGGGATCATGTCAGTTGCCGAGAGACGAGAACGGGTCAGAGGACAGCTGCGGAGCCCCATCTTCTCCCCCCACCATCTCGTCTACTGGAGGAGAGGTCTGTTACTGGGTCGCTAGGTGGAGGGTATGGGGTGTGGCTTCTCTGATGGAGAAAAAACCTAGTCTCGTGCCCAGGCTCTGCCCACTATTCACAATGGGAAGGGGTCTGGCATATATGTACGCGTTATTTGAAATCAGATTGGAGAATAGGTTTTTAATGCACCATGCACTCAGAAGTATAAAAAATCTGCACATTCTACTGTCTATACTAGAGGAATGCAAAGCATATTGGGGAGCGAGCGCGGTTCAATATTTCGTGCGTGTTGTACATATGAAGCACTGTTGGGATAGATGTGCTATGTACAATTGCAGTTGGTGGAGTTTTGCAGTGCGGAAGGCCACGAGTGTGGTGAAATACCTGACGTTTGGAGTGTTCATCATTGCGCTGGACAGACTCCACCAGAAGTACGGCCGGAAGAGAACCTCATCCTCCATGTCTTCCGAGACCTCTGTAATACAATGCGTACATACTCTGTATCACTGGAGAGCTTGATCTTTGGTTACATGATTGTGCTTGTCGGCTGTTAAGAGTTGTGAAGTTCTAAAGCGGGTTTGCCTATAAAACGTGACACGAAGCCCTGTGTACCTTGAGTGTTGCTGAATCATCAGAAGTATCTGCAGAACTCCTGTTTAACCTGGAATAATGTATTATACAAGTACATCTGTAATAGAACGTGCCAGTGTGGTTTTGAATCTCACCCACTGCAGTTAGTTAAAAAAAACGTGACCTATTGCTTACATGTAAGAGCTCTGTCATGACATCATATTGTACTACAACATGAATACAATTGTTTGTTTTTCTGTGTACAGGAGGAGAAGGCAGAGAGCACGGATCACTTCCCAAGGACTTTCACAAACTCCACTCTTGAGGTATTTCGATTGTAAGAGTAACGTCACATTCATTAGAGCGCCTTCAGACACCTACATAGGCTGGGTTCACAATATTATGTCACGTTGCTTCGTTGCGCTGTGCCGCTTGTGGGCAAGGATAGATCAATTCCCATCTTTGCTGCATGACGCGACGAGGTACGGTTGTCGCTCGATGGTCCATAACCTCCTAACCTATTGAACACACTCACGGCTATAATTATTGTTCATTATTAAGTTAAGGACGTTAATTGATTAACAGCCACATCTAATGACTATGATTGTCGTAAATTACTTGAAGTAGTTTTTTAAACACTTTAAAGTATTTTCCGTGTTCTCAACTCATTAATTAATTAATTAATTGTAGAATTCTGTGCGTGTCCCCAACTGAAACATTACGACGGTGTTATCACTATTGGTTGGAGCCACGTGTATTGCATAATGCCAGGATTTATAGTACATATATCTTCTATACATAGACAGCGAGTCTGAAGTCTACGTGTATTACAAGCCCAATCCCTTGTGTTGTATGCATTCTGTGTATGTACTGAATACAGTATATATACATAAGTATACAGTCTGGGAGGATTTTAATGATTGGCTGCCGAGATTGAACTTTAATTGACGTAAAATAACTCGGTGCACTGGCTGCATAGGGAAAGAGTGCTGTGGACGCAAAAAGAGAACTGGCTTTAGTGGTATACGTATTATACATAGTGGTGGGGCTACTATCATAACAGTTGGTATGTATTCTTCGCTCCAGAATTCGTGGACTGGTTCGTCGTTGAGGAAAACCCAGAGATCTGACTCCACTGACTCCAGGCAAGTTCTCTAGGTTATACACAATACGATAGAATGGTACGGAGGGAAACGCTTGGCAAGTAAGCATTTTTGTGACTTAGTAGAGTTCATGCATCAGGGCAGCTCTTCTTTTTTCTGTGAAAGAGTTGTCCTGGGTGTAGTTGACTTGTGTGCTTTGCCTTTCTACATATATACCCTCGTTGTTGACACATGGAATGCTAAACAAAAGGGTCCCACCCCTCAAATTAATGTCACAGTGAAACACACTTGTACTGTGTGTATGCAAATGTACAGTAGACTTTCAGCCACACTGCTACACATTATCTATGGCCTGTACTGTGTGTATGTGTGTATGTACCACTGATTGTAGGTTTGGCAGCGACTATGAGTTGAGGGGGAGGCTGGGGAAGGGAGGGTTTGGGGTGGTCTACCACGTCAAGAACAGAACCGACGACGGAGAGTACGCCGTCAAACGCATCCTCCTCCCCCGCAAGTTAGCAACTACTGTTCATCTGTCTGCACCTATGTATGTATTCATAATAGGACACCCAAACAACACCATACAGCCGGAAAATTTAGTTGGTTATTAAAAATTTTCCGAGTTAGTGGTTTCACCAAATGTAAATGTGCTAATATTTCAAGCACCTACTCATCCACATAATCATCGCCAGATTTTATGTCAAAATAAATTTTTTATTGGGCAAAATTAATTGTTACTGTTATGGTAATTACATTAGATCAGGATGGCATGTCCACGCACAGTGTTGAGGATTCAATCCAGCTACATATATATCCCTGTATCTACCTACTGTATGTCTCACCCTCTTTTGCTTGTTACACATTCTCTCTTCCTTCTTCTGCCCTCCATTCTTTCTTAACCCACACTCTCCTCCCTCCTCCTCCTCCTCCTCTCTTCCCTCCACACCGGTCTATATTATACAGGAAGTCGGCAAGAGAGAAGGTGATGAGAGAGGTGCTCGCCCTGGCCCAGCTGGACCACGCCAACATTGTCCGCTACTTCCACTCGTGGGTGGAGCAGGCGCCTGAGGGATGGCACACCAGGAGCAGTGGGTCCCTCTCAGCAGAACTGAGTCCTAGTGAGCCTCGAGTCATATACTGTGTGTTTACCATGGGGTTGCTACTAACTGTGTATATACAACTACCATTTACTGGTTTTTGGGCTGGTAACACCGCATCATGATCTCTTGACTGAGTGCAACTACCATTTACTGGTTTTTGGGCTGGTAACACCGCATCATGATCTCTTGACTGAGTGCAACTACCATTTACTGGTTTTTGGGCTGGTAACACCGCATCATGATCTCTTGACTGAGTGCAACTACCATTTACTGGTTTTTGGGCTGGTAACACCGCATCATGATCTTTTGACTGAGTGCAACTACCATTTACTGGTTTTTGGGCTGGTAACACCGCATCATGATCTCTTGACTGAGTGCAACACCATTTACTGGTTTTTGGGCTGGTAACACCGCATCATGATCTCTTGACTGAGTGCAACTACCATTTACTGGTTTTTGGGCTGGTAACACCGCATCGTGATCTCTTGACTGAGTGCAACTACACCATTTACTGATTGTTTCCCCTCCAAATCCTACTGAGCTATCTTTGCAATGTGTACTTACCTTTTATTGTTGGGTGTTCTCAGTGGAGGAACCGATTCCTGTAGTTTTATTTTTTATGGCTAGGCATTTGACATCCCAATCATTCACTGTTTGTGGAAACCATTGTAGCTGTGGGGATTGCATAATGTCTATGGAAACAGCTAGAAGTATAACATACACAATTCAACTCCCTCAGAATTTCAGAGTTGCAAGCTTGCTGGGTTTCCAATGATATCTGAAATGGGGCATACGAAGCCTGTATGGGACATGTGAAGCCTGTGGGGTGGGGTATATGAAGCCTGGTGTGTGGCAGGAAGAAGCCACCATGGGGTGAAGCCCTCCAGGGGACATGCAGGGGGATACTGAACTGCTGTTGCTGTGGCTTCAAAACAATGCCATATGGCTTAAAGGGTTTTTAATGGCCCTTGAATTAAAATTGTGCTGAATAATATCCTGTTGAGTGGTTAATGCAGTACACTGGTAATGACACCCCTGAAATGAGGACATTTCTCCTAATAAGACCCTTGACGAAAGTTTCTGTAATGACACAATTGGACTTCACTAATGCCGGCACTTTCTATTGGTGTCAGACTAGAGGGGTCCACTGTAACTTGTATATAAGTGTGTCCTGGGAAATGTCTATTGATCTCACGTGAACACTAGTAACTGCCTCTCTGTAGTGCCTGTGCCGAGCAATCTCCATTTCCGTCCACGATGCCGTCGTCTTCGGCATCCCGACTGGCCCCGCCCACCTCCTCCTCCTCCCTTCCCTCCAACCCCTCCCTCTCCACCCTCTCCCACGACAGGATCCACGCCGAGGTCCCTCCTCCCCTCTCCACACAGTCACACACCTCCTCTTTCGTCATTGAATTCAATAACAAGTAGGTCGGATCCACTCTCGGCACAATGAACATAGCATATTCTGTTTACTAAACTCTGCTGCCATTAATGTTGGTACTGTGGCTTGGCTTCACTCCTATCAGACTTGTTACCGTGGCTCCAATTATCCTCTGGTTTGATTTGTGATAATTATGCTCAGAGAGAAATCTAGACGGTATCGGTGTAAAAATGTATGAAATTTAATGGGACCTGCTACATATTTTATACCCGTGCCCAACCAATGCGTTATTGCATGCATGTACATATGTATATATGCATGTGCAATGATCACCGAAATGTGAGTGTGCATGCACAATGATCACTGACGTGTGTGTGTGTGTGTCTGGCAGGACTGAAGGAGAGGAGAGTGTGGCGATCACCACCACTGGCGGAGGAGGTGAAGGGGAGAGAGGCTGCTTCCCTCGTGACCTCCTCGACAACAGAGACGACCTCTCGGACTGTTCAGATACCCACCTCGGGGGAGATGACGACAGAGGTGAGGAGGACGGGGGGGGAGAGAAGCGACGTAAGTGGGAGAAGAAAGTGAGATGAGAGGGAAGAGAGTCGGCTATAGTATAGCTACATAGGACTCCACTAAGCTAAGTACAACCTGTCTGTGAAGAGGGTACTGCATCATTTGAGGGCGGAAAACAGAGGAGGGTGAATGCCGCTCTTGCACAAGAGAAGTATGTACTGTCAACAGTTAATGTAGCTGGATTTCCATTGTAGTCCACATCGTATGGCAATGTGTAAGTAGCCTCTCCCTTCTTCTGCAGGTGTGCATCAATTGGAAGCTCCGACGTACCTGTTCATCCAGATGCAGCTGTGTAGGAAGGAGAGTCTCAAGGAATGGCTGGCTCAGAACATTCACAATCGTCCACTGAGAGTCGTCCTCCACTACTTCCAGCAGGTACATATTATGATCAGCTTCTACTAGGTTTTGAGCTCAGTAATAGCAGAGCAAATAAATGAGATTATACGTAGATATTCCCCCTACCTTCATCACTTCATCACCACCCTTTCATGGTGTTTATCCATCTTCATGACTTAACCTTCAGATGTCCCAAACAATTTCTGTTCTATAGTGTATGTGAGGGGGCATGGGAAAAGGAACAAGGGACCTATATGGCTGGAATGTGAAAATTAAGTTTTTGAGGGTGAAAAACCACAAAAAACTTAATTTTCACATTCCAGCCATAAATGTAGGTCCCTTTTCCCATGCCCCCTCACATATGCACACAAAGGTTTCTATGTGAATCTGTAACGAGTGTGTGTGGTATTGTTTGCCGGTGACTGAACTGTGCAGGTACTGGAGGCTGTGACGTACGTCCACCAGAAGGGTCTCATGCACCGAGACCTGAAGCCGTCCAACATCTTCTTCTCTCTGGAGGGCAGCGTGAAGGTCGGCGACTTTGGACTGGTCACCGGAACCTCCTTCTCGGGATCTCAGACTTCTCTACATAGTGAGTTGGCGTAACACAAACCGGCTCTCTCTCTCTCCATGCTGAGTTTGACACTCTTTAAAGGATCAGTAAAACAAATGCATCACCTGTAGACTGACCCTCTCTAGCTCTCTGCATGTGCTGTTGCCACAGGTGTTCATTGCAACGTTTTAACACACGTGGAACGTTTTCATGCACATATGTATTCTATTTAAAAAAACGAAATATTCCATGATAAACATTGTATATACTACGAAAGGAGATCCTACTAGTGTGTATTGACTGTATTATGTTATGCGCAAAGTACGCATTTGGATCTGTGTATATACCTATGTATGTATGTATGTAGAAACCAGTATTGGGTGTAGAAACTGAAGATGCTCCTTGGGGGGTGTGTGTGTGTGTGTGTAGGTCTGAAGCCGCCGGTGGATGAGAGCATCAGACACACGGGAACATAGGGTCCCACTTCTACATGGGTCCCGAGCAAGCCGCGGGGAAGAAATACGACCAGAAGGTTGACATATATTCTCTTGGAGTCATCTTCTTTGAGCTCCACCATCCATTTGAAACGGACATGGAGAGAGTCAAGGTCAAGGCCATAATTATTACTTGAACAAATGCAGTGCATTTTTGCCGCTCGTCACATCTATGTATTCAGGGCAAAATGAAGGAAAAAGTAGGGGTCTTTAAGGAGGGAAGTCAGTGGCAATGGGAGACAGGCAGCAGCACTGATGCTGAAGAAATTTGTAGCTGTACATTTTTGGCTGCTCATCACATACAACCCCTAGCTGCATTCTCATATAGCATTCTCTGTTCATTTGTTACTTTCCGTATTCGTGGCCTCTGTTTAGTAAACTCTGATTTGTATGACGAAGAACGGCCATTTTAGGCACGTAAGCAGATACTGAGTCATAGATCTGAGCCCTTATGTTTGCACACTGTCCAGGACAGGTATAGCGCAAGTTAGATGACTAGGTAGACTCACTTCGTGCTGATGGGGTCTAATTTGGCATCATTATGTTGCTGCGATATTCTATGAACACAAACTGTGTATACCAGGTTCTGGAGAACCTGAGACAGAGAGAGATGCCGAGCAACTTCCTGAAAACCATGCCGCAGGAGGTGAGTGCTTCTATTCCCTCGCCTTCAGTCAACAGGAAACCTTTTCCTACCATGACGTCTACCTATTTGCTTTGTTCAGTTCTCCTGCTTTGTCGCACTCTCTACAGTCCACCTATTATTTAGTGTGAGCCACTGATTCTAACCCTAACGTTGTTGGTAGACTGAACTACTACAAGCTGCATCAGCTACAGATTTCAGGTAGGGGTAGATGCTGGGTAACCCTGAGTCTGAATTCTACTTCCCATCCCTTATTTTCGCTCTTCTTCTCAAACTCCCACCCTCTTCCATCCTTCCTCCCCCCTGCAGTCAGAGCTGGTGAGGTGGTTAACGGAGCCCCACCCGGCCGGGAGACCCTCTGCTCAGGACATCACTGGTAGCCAGCTGTACTCTGACCTCCACAGAACGGCAGAACACTCGCCCGACAATCATCTCATACCAAGACTCTAAAAACAATCTCTCTTTCCTTTACTGTGTGTCTTAATATCTTGAGCCATGGTTTGGCTGTGTACATTTTGTTGGCTCTCTGTTTGTTTGAAGGGACTGTGTGTGTAGTTGTGTATATGTAAGGGTTGTAGCATTTCTCTCACCATCTCTTTTCTAATTCACCAGTATCTCATTTTTGTGGACCATCAAACTCTAAAGAAACACGTGAACAGTCTGTTGTACACGTTCCTATATACACATGGAGCATATGACTGCGCAGAGGACAAATTAATGTTACCCAACGGCTGATCGAGTTTCCATCATGAACAGCACCAATCTACAGTGCTTCATATACTCTGAGTACGCATGTTAGCTCTTTATGGAGGGTTATAGTTATATACAGAATGAGGACATGTATATAATACGATTGCTGAAAGTTAAAAGCGGCGTTTGTGTGCACAAAACTGGGTTATAACGGATCTTCATGTACAGTTGGTGAAAAAGAGAGAAAGGGAGAGTTAAGACAAGAGAGCAGTGACTGCACTACATAGCGACCGGTGCATATAAAATAGATATCTTCCCTGTGACTACATGCATGGGGCTGCTGGCTGTGTGTGGTTTAAAAAAGAGACGAGGGTAAGTCAGCTAGGTATATTATGTAAGTGGTGGAGGTGGTGCCGTGTGTGTGTCTGTTAATGGATGGACAGCAACCAGGAGATCGACTATCGCTCTATCTTGTTCTTCTTGACCCGGGAGTATATCTTGTAGACGAGGAAGGTGACTTCGTGGATGAAGAAGGTGGCTATCCAGGCCAGTCCCAGAGCACACCATGTCACCCAGACCTCAAACGGTGCCACCACCAGGAACACACCCAGTGTCACCTGCAAGGGAACATCAGTGCGTACATTCATAGTGGTTTAAAATGTGCATAAAACTGTACAAGGAACGGGCTGACATATTGAAGGCTTGCAAACTACCCAGGTACATTCATAGTGGTTTAAAACTGTACAAGGAACGGGCTGACATATTGCAAACTCTCCAGGTACATTCATAGTGGTTTAAAACTGTACAAGGAACGGGCTGACATATTGCAAACTACCCAGGTACATTCATAGTGGTTTAAAACTGTACAAGGAACGGGCTGACATATTGCAAACTCTCCAGGTACATTCATAGTGGTTTAAAACTGTACAAGGAACGGGCTGACATATTGAAGGCTTGCAAACTCCCCAGGTACATTCATAGTGGTTTAAAATGTGCATAAAACCTTACAAGGAACGGGCTGACATATTGAAGGCTTGCAAACTCTCCAGGTACATTCATAGTGGTTTAAAATGTGCATAAAACTGTACAAGGAACGGGCTGACATATTGAAGGCTTGCAAACTACCCAGGTACATTCATAGTGGTTTAAAACTGTACAAGGAACGGGCTGACATATTGCAAACTCTCCAGGTACATTCATAGTGGTTTAAAACTGTACAAGGAACGGGCTGACATATTGAAGGCTTGCAAACTACCCAGGTACATTCATAGTGGTTTAAAACTGTACAAGGAACGGGCTGACATATTGCAAACTCTCCAGGTACATTCATAGTGGTTTAAAACTGTACAAGAAACGGGCTGACATATTGCAAACTCTCCAGGTACATTCATAGTGGTTTAAAACTGTACAAGGAACGGGCTGACATCTTGAAGGCTTGCAAACTACCCAGGTACATTCATAGTGGTTTAAAACTGTACAAGAAACGGGCTGACATATTGCAAACTCTCCAGGTACATTCATAGTGGTTTAAAACTGTACAAGGAACGGGCTGACATATTGAAGGCTTGCAAACTCCCCAGGTACATTCATAGTGGTTTAAAATGTGCATAAAACCTTACAAGGAACGGGCTGACATATTGAAGGCTTGCAAACTCTCCAGGTACATTCATAGTGGTTTAAAAACTGTACAAGGAACGGGCTGACATATTGAAGGCTTACAAACTCCCCAGGTACATTAATACAGAGACGAGACTTGATGGCAAGTAAGAAACTCATACTAGATCTAGCACCCTAGCTCTAGCACCCTAGTAGAGCCAAAAAGAAAGGAGAACTAAATGGCACCACCACCACCACACGAACATGAGCACATGACTAATGTTCACGTTGGGTACACACATACCTCTCCCAGGCCGAGTGCGACGGTGAGGAAACCACCGACTGCGTGGTAAACCTCCCAGCACCTTCGATACACCGACTTGTCTTCCTTTGGCGTCTGTCCGTTCTCCCGATCAACACACGGGTGGCTGCATGTACAGTGAACAATAACACACACACACACACCGTTCACGGAAAGCCGATATTATACTGAGCTAAATGATAGGGTGCAAAAATGCAACTGGGGGAAAAGAAAATTGTACTCCACGGTATATAGTAGAACCCTAAAACAAAGAAACTCTTGAAATCTGAGGCACAAAGACATCGTGTAGGCGACTAACCATCAGTGTTACAGTCACCCTCAAGGTATGCCATGATATATTATAGTGATTCTTATTACTCACAATATTCCGTTGAGGAACTGGTGTAGGAGTATGGCGGTCAGCACGATCCCGACAATGGCGTGGGCAAAGTTGGGTTCGCTGTAGGAGCCCACGAGGAAGATGAGGACAAACCCGGCCACGGTCAGTAGCACCCCCAGAGACTATGTGTGCGTGCGTGTGATGAGAGACACGGACAGGCAATCACAACATGTCGCAGGCCGACTATGTTTGTCGCTATTACAGAGAGCTATGTCACTGGTGGGCCACCAGCCAGTATGGTGTTGTTTGCCTCCGTAATTGGCAGGCAAAGGGAGCCTACCTTGTCTGAATAATTTATTGTGCATGCTTCTATATATAATGTATGCTAGACGCTGTATCCAACGTTGCCAACCTTACACGATGCCTTGAAATTTCAGCGACATACCTGCATTTACGTAATACGTGCACGTGACTCTAAACAAATCGTCACTGAAATTAAAATTTTTACAATCCTTGCTGCATGCACTGCTGGGGGATATGCACCTGTGACTCTCACATTCACTCACTGAAAACGCGGAAGCATCATTGAATACACCTTGACAGATTATACAGTGTTGGGTGCATGCAGTTGAGCTCACGTGACAGATGATGTGAAGGATGAACCAGAAGGGCCAGTACTGGCGGTAGTAGCGACCTAGCAGGGCCCCCAGTGGGAGCAGAAGACCCCAGGCAATGTACATGAGGATGCCGTGGAGGTGGACGAAGGAAAAGTAGTCGTCTGGACAGCTCCTCACCTCTCCGTCCTCCTTGGTCCATGTGAGTAGCCACAGGTCACTGTAGACCTGGTCTTCATCACTGAGGTGGAGGGAGGGAGAGTGGGAGGGAGGGAGGGAGGGAAGAAGGAGCAGAAAGAGGGAAGGAGAGAGTAAGGGATAGAAGAGGTGGGAGGAAGGGATAGAAAGAGGGAAAAGAAAAGGAAGGAAGAGAGTGAGAGAAAAAAGAAACGGTACCAAAGAAATGAAGGAACTGATAGTGTGGAGACTATACAAAGTGTATGTTTGTCTTTGCAAGCATTATGTGCTCATATGAAACCTAAATGGGAAAGTAGTGAATAAGAGGGAAGAGGGAGGGAGGGAGGGAAGAGGGAGGGAGGGAGGGAGGCGTGTGTTCCAGTGCCAGTGGGTTATGCAACAGAGCTGAAAACACGACCACAGAGCATTCCTAGCATGCACGGCAATTTGTATTGTCTACCATACGACTGTCCACACACATAACTGCCTACGTACATACACTCAGTGCAGACATACAGACAGATATATACATACATACACAGTGGAACCGCCTATCTGGACACCTAGAAGAAAGTGTCCTTATTAGTGAGGTGTCCCTACCAAATTGCATGCAAGGAATATGATCTCGGGGAGGGTATCCTTCTTAGAGAGGTGTCCTCAGTTTAGAAGCGTCCTATATATAGAGGGGTTCCACTGTACTCAGATATATACTCACTCAACGTTGCGGCCACCATATATCAGGATGGAGTCCCCGTTTCTAGCAACCGCTGGGTCAGATCTCTTGCCGGCGTAGGTCCCCTCCTATCCCACGGGTAACGATCCACGTCTCGTTCTGTCCGTCAAGAACGCTCAGGTCGGAGGTGTTGAAGGAACGCGCGGAGAGGAGCTGGGGGTAGGCCCCTGGTCCGTCCTCCTCGTCACCAAACAAGAGCACACTTCTGTTGAGCGACAGCTGCAGAGGAGAAGTGCTACTGTAAAAGTGGTTTTGTCAGGGCAAAAACAACAATTTGGTCCGCTGTTTACCACCATCAACAAGCCCTGACTATGAAAAAACTGTACAATTTTTAGGAAATCACAACTGCATTTCTTGTGAATACTCTGGTTTTTTGGCATGTCACACGGAGCTCACGAAACGCTTTTCATAAATATCGTCATTGCTAGAGTTTTGTTACCCTAGGTATAGAGTCTAAGAGTAGGTTAGTAGGTGTAATTGTGGGTGAAGGGTGACCTACAGTTATCATTACTCCGTCGTTGACTGGAGAGGAGCAGTCTTCGAGTTTGGTCCATTCATCGTCCTCTCTGTTGTACAGCCACGAGTCCCCCAGCGGACAGGGACCACCCACATAGCCACCACTGCCAGGAGGAGAGGGACAACAGTGGGGCACCACCACCGGACCGGAAACAAGGGGGGAGAGGGAACAGTAATGCAACGATATGAAGCCCCTTTCTATTATACTCGGTCAGTATTGTGATTTCACAGGAAGAGACTGCTGTGTGAAGTATAATGGAAGCTGGGAAAACTGAGGTGGACAAAGACTACGAAACATCAAAACACAAAACCTCAAGATTTGGGAGATAAGATTTCCCACAAACTGTCCTAACAGAAGCTCGGGGCATATGAATGCATGCAAGGAGAGTTTTGACTCATATCCTTCCATTGAAAAACATTGATACGGGAACTAAGTGGCATCACAAGACCTAACCAACCCATTGTAAAGTGTATGACACACGGTACCTGGCGCAGCCTCCGAAGAAGACAAAGGTGGTGTTGCTGAGCGGGACTCCAGCGTGCTTGTAGCGGGCGTGTGGCAGGAACGGGTCGTACTGGTTGTAACCCACACCTTCGTCCAGCATCTCCCACTCTCCTGCCGTGACGGACGGCCAGAGAAAAGGGGGGCAAAGTGTTTGGAAAGTGAAATCATTGTGCATACTAATATCTCCCACTCGGCAATTAAAGCACAGTGCAAGTTTAATGGTAAACGCTTGAGTTTTCTGTGCAGTGCAAAGACTACGGGTATAGCTTCCAAATCTTTTTTTGCTGCAAGTTCAGTTTGAGATCAGTGCTCAATAATATTATGACATGACAAAATTCAAGCTGTTGCGTCTAGACATGGGAGTAGCATCTGCGGATTTAACCACCCAAGAAAGTAAGGTAGACGTAAAATTTTTGCGAGAGAGAGAGAGAGAGAGACTCACCAACAAGTTCTACTTCACCGTTCTCTTCGGTGGTGCTCAGTGTCAGTACCCACAGGTCCGACAGTGTCCGTTTGTCCTTGTTCCTGCCCATGCTGAGCCAGAGGAGGTCGTCCCACACCCCGCCGGCCGGGTCCGTCCTCCCCTCCGGAACGAGGGGACCTCCAGTCTCGTTAACTCCCAGTGACAGGGACAGGTTCACGACAAGCCACCTCTGTGACTCCATGTCAAAGGCCCATGTGTCGTCATATAGTTGGTCATCCGACTCACCTCGACCTACGCAGTGTTTGACACAAAAGTCAACTGAAGCATGCCTTTACAGAAACAGTACTAATCAATCACCTTGGGATTTCTTCGAAATAGCTACAGTGGCACCTCTTAGGAACAGAGTTAATCAAGCATACTTATTGTGGACTGACTTTACTCTGGTATATACATGCAATGTGAAATGCCTGCATGCTAGCATTATAACACTAATTAGAGAGTGAAATTCCAGTTATTTTCGTGATCTATGGAGTTGCATAAAATGGTTCCACTGCACAAAATGAAAGGAGGGTTTTAAAGGAGAGTCTTTGACAACAGCTGTTGGTAGGAGGGATGATTGCAAGTCAAATGTCACAGTGTTTGGGCCACTCCTGCCAAGGCCACATCCCATTGCAATGTCCTCCCATCAATGCCTACATGATTAGATTTGCACCCAACACTCTCCACTAATGGTGCCAATAATGCCAGGCCCATCATCCCCCCAGCCAGCCTACACTATACGCCCCTTATACTCTATACACCAAACATGCACACACTAATACTATGTCCATTGAACCTTCTTTAAAACCTCCTCTGTCTCTCTCTCTCCTATCTCAATGAGGCCATTACGGTAGCCTCGAATCTGGGCCCTCTCTTTTCCGCGATCGTTTACTCATGCGCAAGAAAAAACGGAGAGTTCGGAAAAGGAGAAGGGTCTGGTCACAGGCCAGCCATTACCTATATCCCTCTTAATACAGCTCAGATGTACGTACTATAGATGATTTACAGCAAAACCCCTCTAATCCAGTGGGACAGAAGAAAGTGTCCATATTAGTGGGGTATCCTTATTTCTCGGGTAAAATAACATGCAAGAAATGGTGTCGAGAAGTGCCCTCATTTTAGGGGTGTCTTCAGAGGGTATTGCGTATACATTGTCATTAGACTAGAGTGCTGTGTTGGTGATTGGGCAAACACTGTCATATACAGTGCATGGAAACCTGCGTTCTAACCACAACAACTGCTCTCCTAGGCTGCCAGGTACATTAAACACGCCTCTCCCCACACAGCACAGCATGAATAAAGCCTGTTGATTATCTGTAACTGGTGAGATCACTGAGTCTCAACCGATAAACACAAGGAGACTAAACTGAATGGTTCGACCTCACACACAACCGTACAGACCATGAATAAACACTGTCCTAGCTCTGCAAGACGGCTGGGGTTTAAAAAATTAATGATCATGGGATGCTAGCCACGAGGGGCTGCCACAATTTAACTGCTGTTTTCGGAGATTCTTGTACAATACAGAGCCTCCGCTGTGTATTGCAGCTAATACTGGTCCTCAAGAACACACAGAGACACATGCTGAACACCCAGTGAAGGGGCTCACCGTGAGAGATCAGCAGGTACTTGTCGTACACTCCATAGATCATGCCGTAGCGGTGCGCTGGTCCACCACCGGGCACTGTCAGCACCTCCCAAACCACGGAGCCACTACTGCTAATGCTCAGACTTCCCATACCTACATATTATGAAAACACATCATTGAAATTTTTGATGCAATATAGCTAAAGAGTGGGGGGAATTTTTCTCATTTTTGATGCTGGAGAGAGAACACACAGGTGCAAGCCAGAGGTGTCCTGATCTTAGAGATGTGTCCTAGAGTTGAAGGAGATCCGACTTGAAGGAGGGATTCCCTATAATATCAGCTAGCAGCAATTACAAAGCAGCGGTCCTCACCGAATATCCTCGACCCATTGTGGACGTTTCCTATGCCTTCGAACACGAAGAACTGGTTGCCCCAGAAGCCCATGGCGGCCGAGTGGCGAGCAGGCGGCTCGCTGGATGCCGAATTATCCACTTCGAGTGCGCGCCACGTGAAGTTCTCGGCGCTGGCCGCGGCAGCGATCACGGCGAGACAGAGGATTCGTGTCAGCATCATATGGTAGAGAGTGGAGGTCTTTCTTTGCCAGGTTATTACCAGCCTTGGCAAGAGTCCCACGATCTGTGTTTTTGGACAGCGACAGCCAAACCGCGTACGATATGGAGAGTAAACTCAGACACACCTCTCTTTCTCACGACACGCCCCCCTTTTCTCCGCTCTTTTTATCGGCAATGCGTTGGGTGGAGTGAAATATTGAAATTGAGCTGAGCAGCGCGTGTGCTCTCGGGCTAGCTAGCTCCGACCTCTCTCTTTCGTCTCTTTCTCTGTCGGCTTTTGCCGCCTGGGCTGGCGTGGGTGTGTAGGCGACCGCTGTGCTACCTATAATTTGCAAGAGGACTAGTGAATGGAAAGAACTTCTGCCCCTGCTGCACATCCAGCGGTGAGTAGTAGCACAAGCCAGTACCTCGCCTTTTGTTTTCTATGAAAAGCATCGTCGCCACTGTGATTTATCGCAGGGAGAGGGAACCGAAGATACGTTTTATATTACACCGGTCGCTGCTGCCCAGGGTTCCAGGGAGGTAGGTAGCTGAAGCATCCGTGCTTGTTGCTCTGCGTTTGTCGTGTGTTGTCCAACTCGGTACTGGAATACAGTAGTGTTAGCAATAATGCCCAGTACCACATGTAGTAGCTGACCGTCGCTGTCTACCTGCTTACACATAGTTGCCATGCCCACATATGTATACAATACCACTACTCCTAACGGAAGGGGCAGCTCAAACAATTGCAGCGTTCTAGGGTGAGTGCTCCCTTACTTTCAGTGAAAACCAAATTATTGTCCGGTGAATGTGATATACGATAAGCAGTCTTGTCGCCATTCACTTTCTTTCTCCCATCCTTTCTCTCTGCTCCCTCCCTTCATCCCTCCTCTTCCCTGTCACTCATTTCTCTCTCTCCGCTCTTCCCTATTACTCTATCCTCCCTCCCTCCTCTCACTCTGGCCCTCATGCTGGTGGAGAAAGGAGCTAGATACAATGGCCCACAGTAGAGGTGAGGGAGGTGGAACTGGTGGAACTACACCAAAACCAAACCCAAACCCCTCGGCCTCTGCTGGACAGACTCCTAGTAACATGGATCTAGCACACGCAAACAGAACAACAGGTATGTAGTACGTACATTAATGTTTGTATGACGATAACAATTAACAGAAGCATTGTGAGAAAGTCATGTACATTTTCATCCCAGAAACCTTTCTCTTTACACCGACTGTACTGGAATAAGAAAAGATTTTCTTGCCACTTTTTGCATTCTTGCACATTATTATACATAATCAGCCTATGCTTCGATCAATACAACGCTAATGTCATATTGTCATAGGCTTCAAGCGGGTGAAACAGCAATTTTCGGCTGCAAATTTGGTGCGTGGGGTATTTAGTTGAGTGGATCGAACAATCAACCAAAGCTCTCCCCCACAATTAGTTATCTCAATTTCCCACTCTTGTAAGAAGAACCAGTGCTAACAGGAGGAGCTAAAGCGGTGATGACTACATGTTGTTGCTACAGGTGGTGAAGAGGCTGCTAGTGAGACGTCCACTACTGGCCCTGAGGTGACTGTCACTGGAGCTGGATCCGTTCAATAGTGGGTTTACTTAGATGGACAGTAGAAAGAGAGAGAAGATGGAGAAGATGGAGAGAGAGGGAGGGAGTAGACAGAGGTTGTCGTGTTTTGCAAGGTAGCAGAGAAAGTGTGTTGTGTCTGTCTGGGTTCACATTCATGTTGCCATCACCTTAGAAACTGCTGTAACACAGATGCATGCCTGCTATAATTTTGCTGATATTCTGTGCATCATGCATTCATATTCACATTGCAAATGTAGATTCGTCACTGCCACGTTGTTTTGTTCCTTCTCCTCCTCTCCCTCTTCTTCTTCCTCCCCCCTCCTCTCCTTCCCCACTTCTCCTCACACTGTGCACTGTACACCACCAGACCCCATAGACCTGACACAGGAGGACAATGCTCTGCAGAAGGCCCTGGCACTCAGTCTCCAGGAGATGCAGCAGGGCTCCACCGGAGGACCTCAGATCAGCCTCGAGGACCAGGAACTCAGCAGGTGACACACACACTCACACAATCCTGCCCCCGTGTGCCTTGTAGATTACGCATAGCTTAACAATTTGATGGAATGGACATCTTATATTGCAGTTTGTCGTTCAGTGCTGGACATCGGTAAAGTTTGCTGCAGGGAGCTTTGTGTAGTATGTGCACTGTACATGCACGTTTATATACAACCTGTCGAGGCGAAGTTTTCAAATTTGATCGTGTCCCATCTATGAAGTGCCAAGGAATTCATGCCCGTCAACCTACTGCTTTACCTCATTTGCTGATTTTGATATCTTGAGCTGGTAGTATTTGAGACCTGTATCTTGTCATACTTCATCTCCTCTCTCCCTCCCTCCCTCCCTCCCTCCCTCTCTCTCCCACCGTACAGGGCTCTAGAGGCCAGTCTGGCAGAGAGGCAGGGGGCCCTCCAGCAGATCGGACTCTCTCTCGCTGGCATCTCTGTGGATCCTCTCAACCCCCACGAGAGACAGCGACTCGGGCACAACCCTGTCGGCTTGAAGAACATCGGCAACACTTGCTGGTTCAGTGCCGTCATACAGGTCAGTATTATACACACACATACATACATACATACATACATACATACATACATACATACATACATACATACATACATACTGTACATACATACATACACACATACATACGTACACACATACATACGTACATACATACGTACACACATACATACGTACACACTACCACTACGTACACCTCAACAGTGCAACACCAGTTAATCACACATACATGGACATGTACACGAAAAAATAACGCTAAAGTCGCTGTGTGAGATTTTGTGCATGTTTGTACTCACTCGAAAGCATGTATGTGAATTGCACTATGCCAAGGGGAAATTTAGGCCGTGCTTAGGGACATTGACACAGTTGTGATCTGGTTTGGAGAATTCATGCGCCACCTTGATTTACATAGGAAGAATCCGAATTAAAAGTGGCATGTAAACACGCCTTACTTTTTCACAGTAACGCATGGTGACTATTTGCACTGCATACTCCAGCTATAGAATGGTTGGTTAGGCATTTCCTACCTCCAACTTGAATGATAAAAGTACGAAAAGTTTAGGGCACTCTCATTCTCCAGCTACTGTGCAGGTATTCAGGATGGTTAGTTGGCGTTTTGTTTGCTAAAAGTGTAGAAAAGATATGTGTTGCTGAAATAGCTAGTGATGTCGTTTTATGTTGGTTACTAATGCTTGTGTAAGCAAATTACTGCTCTAATGTTAGACCCATGTATGGCATAATTGACTAGCCAGTACAGCAAGCAAGACTACCATAGTCTTGCTTGCAAGCAAGACTAAATACCATAGTTTCCCTAACAATGTACCTTTGTTTGGTTGATGCTAGCCAACACTTTGTCACGTGAGCATTACCATCACTAACATTGGCTGCTGTATTCACTTTCATCTGCACCTGAAACCAACATGTACATACTGTCCAATATCCCCCCAAAACACCCCTCAAACCCGCTCTCTGAACCACATCAGTGTTGTCCACACTGAAGTCACATTGAGCCAATTAGTCTTGTCCACACCATGCTATGCTAACATCCCAGATTAATGTGGACATCCATATAACTTACTTTCTGAAACAACATACACACCATACCAACAGCCCAGATTGTGGACTTCTGAAATATTATAATTAATCCGCATCAATATTGTCCACACTGCTCTACCACTGCTTATAATGGGAACACAGAACATCAACCAATGACTGCTCTTCTAACCTTTGTACCAACCTTTTCCAGCAATTCACACAAGTTTCTCTACGTACACGTGGTGTGGCTACTGTCTCTGTTGTGTTTCCCCCACCCCTCTCCAGTCTCTATTCCATATCCCGGAGTTCCGTTCGGTGGTGCTCCAGTTCCAGCCGCCGGCACTGCCCTCCCCGGACCAGCCACACCACCACTGCCTCCTCTTCCTCGTGGAGCTGCGCAGACTGTTTGCTCTCCTCCTGGCTACCAGACGCAAGTACATCAACCCTCAGAGTGCCATTCAGGTATTCAAATCCTAATTAAAAGTGGCATGTTTGTAAATGCACCTGACAGGGACTGTTTCCAATGCACACTCCAGCTATAGATTGGTAACAAGAATTGTTGGTTTTTTCCTTTCTTTTGTCCCACTTGCATGCTAAAAGTACGAAGAAAAGTGTAGGGCACTCTAGCACTGCATTCATTCTTCAGCTATGTATACTATAGCACTTGAGCCGTTTACAACAGTTTTCTCTAATTCGTGGGTGTCAGCCACATTATTTTATATACTAGAGAATAGAGGTCTTGGTGCTGTTTATATTGGTATATTATAGGCGCTGAAGGCTGCGTTCACGGAGCAGGCGTCTGTGACGGCGGTACAGCAGGACGTCAGCGAATTCACCCACAAGCTGTTGGAGTGGATTGAGATTGCCTTCAAGACTGCCAGTGGTGGAAGTAACATGTGAGTGTGAGTAGTATGCACTCGGTCACACGTGTCAGTGCCCGCAGCACCGTTTCCCCACGCAATCCACGCACACAGAAAAACAAGTGCACGTTAATTGGAGTACGTACTAAATAAGTTAAGCATCTCGTCCGTTAAAATCTAGGCACGTTAGAAGGCCTCGGGCCCCTTGATTAGCAATATTTTGAGAGGTAGGAAATATTTTGTGGGGGTATTGTGAGCTTACTATGGAGTTAATCGTCAGCCTAAAAAGGTGTGCAGTAATTGGCCAAAATAGTAAAGAATCAGTAAAACAAAAATTGCTGTGTGTGGTGCTAAAATTTGCACTGCATAGTGTATGATGTCCTCTCTTGCTCTTACTAATTGTGTAAAGTGAGCACTGCCAGGTGTTGTGTACGATATGTTGCTCGCTTGCTCTCTCCAGCCCTAACCCAGTGGTGAGACTGTTCACGGGCCACTGTCAGACCGAGGGACTGCTGGAGGGACAGACATTCGTCAACGAATCCGACTTTGGTGCCTTCCCCATCCAGGTACAGGGCCACGCCCACCTTCACGACAGTCTGGAGGCAGCCTGCGTCAGCTCTGATATGGGACAGGAGGTGGGGCTATACAGTGTCTTTTGGTACAGAAATAATGCATCCATCTGTGTGAGCGGGTGTGTAGTTCCTACTTGTATGTGTACATGTAGAGACTCAGATTAACGTTGATGTTTCGACAATCATACAGTATACACACACTAACTCAATATAATCGTATATACACGCTAGTCAGTATTGTTCCAGAATGTTCTGTGCATGTGTTCTATATATCACGTGGCGAAGGTCGAGAGGTCGCCACACCACCACCCTGGTGGGGTTATGGCATCAGTCACTGGTACACTATGTGCCCACCTTACTCTTTCCCAACCCCTGAATTCTTTATAATGAAAGCTTTCGTTCGCTGCTTAGCTTCCGGATCAAAGTACTTTTGTGGTTTCTGAAAAGACAGGGAGATTTTCAGAGCTGATTTCTGATTTTCAGTAGTCAAATTTCTGCTTCTGGAAACAAAATTCACCACCACCTCTACTACACTGTACACACAGACGTGGTTCACGGCCCTGCCTCCCATTCTGGTGCTGGAGCTGTCCCGGTTCTCCTTCAACCAGAGCAGCTCCACGGCAGAGAAGCTGCACAGTCGACTCGCCTTCGACCAGACCCTCTCCATGGACCGCTACCTCCACAGGAACAGGGAGAAGGTGCGACTCAGGAGGAGAGAGGTGGCCGCTCTCAAACACAAGTTGCTGGAGCTCAGGAGAAGACTGGCCAGGTAAATATTCCTTGTGGCGGGAAAGAGAAGACTCTGATGAATGTTGCAGCCAGAGAGCCATTGTGTGTGTGTTGGGTGAATTTTTACAGCAGGACAACTATCCAAAAAATCGTATTTGCTACCTGATTGCAGAAGTTCTATCTTTTGAAATGTTGCCGTGTAGGTACATCTGGTGTCCGGGAAGAGGGGAGAGAAAAAGGGAGGAAGAGGGAGAGAGTGAGAATTTTATCTCTCTGTGTTGCTGTAGGTTCACCTGCTACCAAGGGCACAGTGTGAGCATCCAGCAGGTGTTGCAGATGACACTGGACTTTGCCAGGGAGCAGAGCAGTGCTGTGAGGGAAGAATCAGTTAGTGGGGATGAAGATGGGAGGGGGAGGGGAGGGGAGAGCCAGGTGGGGATGGGGGAGAAGTACCCGCGGATGTCCGTGGGGCCCGAGCCTCGCTACATCTCTCCCGAGGAGAGAGCTACACTGGACCAGTGTCTCGGGAGATGGAGAAATGAGGTCGATGAAGACATTTCAGGTGTGTGGAGTAGATGACTTCCGAGTAGGGACACCTTAATGACATTGGAACGGTCTTTGCCAGTTTGAGGCACAAAACCATTATAGAGGGTGTCGTTTATTTGGAGGGTTCTTATTCAGAAGTTTTGCTCTGTCTTCCTGCAGCAAGTAATGCTCGTGTGGTGCTAATTTTCGATTTGCATATGTTCAGGTTTTAATCTTCAATGAAACTTATACCACCTATGTACCCCAGCGAAGCTGTCAATAACTCGATCCGCAATACGTACCTAAATATGGCACAATCTAACTAAACTAGCTACCATTCATATTCCCCCTCATCTATATCTGTATTCCTCTCCCCAAATGAAACCCAAAGACCTGAGAGAGAGTGTGTCGACTACGGAGGACTCCCTGAGTGCTGTGTACAGCGACGAGGCCATGAACACCGTCTCCTACCACCTCCACGCCGTCCTAGTCCACCAGGGCCAGGCCTCCGGCGGTCACTACTGGTCCTACGTCCGCAGACCTCCCTCTCTTGTCATAGAGACACTGCCCCCCGCCGCCACACCGGGCAGCAGTAGTGTCGTCGACCAGCTCCAGGTTCCTGCTGCTGCTGCGATGATTCGTGGTGGGCCAGAGGTGGTGATGAGTGGTAGTCCAGCCATGTCGACCGAGTCTGGAGGAGGAGGGGAGGAGGGCGGGGCGAGAGGAGATGCCGTGAAGGGTGGTGAGAAGCGGCAGGAGGGGCGAAGGGGCTCTGACCGGGAGAAGAGAGGAGGAGGAGGGTGGTTGAAGTTCAACGACGTGAGTGTTCACGAGGTTGGTTGGGAGGAGGTGGTGAAGGAGTCTTACGGAGGACACCACAACACCAGTGCCTACTGCCTCATCTACCTCAGCCCCCTCCTCCACCACTCGTGGGCCAGCAGTGGTGAGACTCTGGTGTCCGTGTGTGACTCTATTGAACTAGTCTGGATTGAATCCGGATGAAAAAGTGGCGTGTAAACACGCCTTGTGTTGGATGTGTAGCATCCAAGTTACGTATATATCAGGGCAGCGAGTTGCAAAACAGTACAGAAGAGTGTTCTATATACATATATAGTGCTTACCAAGCTGTACTTGTGGTGGTGCATGGGTATGTGGCCGTTGTGTGTTCGCAAACGGCTGTCCTACAAACCTAGTACTCTGTAAGTCTACATCCACAAGACTTTGTAGGAAACTTTAATGGAAGTTTAGTCTTTCTGAAGTTTTCTACCATAGAGATACGTAGGAACGAGGCACTGGGCTTTGTTGGTATACAGTTCTGCAGTGCTTGGATTTATACTTGGAACCTATGTCAGTAGTCGAAAGCTCTATGGGCTAATAATTATGGTTTATTGATTGTTAACAGATGAGGAGAATGAGCTGGCAGGTGATCTGAAAGAGATAGTTGAGGAGGACAACGAGGCGTTCAGACAGGAGAAGGCCGACTATGATGCCAGAAAAGAGCAGCAAGAGAGACTACGAGAGGTCGGTGTGAATGACTGGTGCCACTTTTGTCAAATGATTTTGGGCTGACATAGGGAGGAAGGAATGTAGTTTCAAATACTCGCGCATGAGGCAGCAGGGCAGCTCTTCTTCTTAATCTTTGGAAAGAAAGAGATGTCCTGGGTGTAGTTGACTTGTTTGCCTTGCCTTGCCTTTCTACCTCGTTACCAAGTTGTTGAGACATGAGAGTTTATGTGTAAAAAATAACCCGCTATGAGAAAATGATGGGGATGACTTCAAGATGTCATCCGCTGCACACAAACACTTGTTGATAGTGCAGCCCCTTAGTGGTCACTGGCAGCATGAGGGACTATATTACAGTGTATATCCCTTCTGTTACAGTTGGTTTCGTTGTGCCATTGTGCTGTCATCTGTTTGTTGTGCTCTCTCTCAGGCTGGGGAAGGAGGAGCAGACAGCTGCCAGTCGCAGAGTTCTTTGGCTCCGGTCGGTGGTGCCACTTCAGACGATGCCAGACCGGTCGGACCAAAACATGACCGCAGCCCCGAGCAGATGCAGGTACATAATTATAATGTACAGTTCTAAATAATAGTTTTCGTACATTTTGTGATAATCTGAAAATGAAGAAGTGGTAGGTTGCACAGACATGTGATTGCCTGCGAAGAACCTTACCTCCAAGATTTCTCCAAAACTGCGCGAATCTGCAAAATGTGTTTGCACTGTGAAAGTAGGTATTACGTATACTGAACTGACAATTAGGTGGACTCGCCACCGCTGCCACCGGTGGATGCTGCCCTGACTACGGAGCTACAGCTACAGGTCCAGACCCAGTACCGTCACCACTCCCTCTACCAGAGACTGGAGGGACGAGAGGGAGGGGACTCAGAGGTCGAGGTTCAAATGAGGCTCTCCCACATCTGTTCCTACGTCATCCTCTCGGAATTGACCAAGAACGAGATGGTCGCCCCAGCACTGCAAGTGTTCCTGCTGCAGGCGGTGGAGATGGAGTGCGAGGGAGAGGAGCTGCGCCTGCTGGCCAAGAAGGAGATCGTTTCGGTGCTCATTAAACCCGGGGTCCAGCATATGATGAATGTGAGCAGTAACAGCTGTTGTATAGCATGGCACGTTGGTGTATCAGAGGTTCATTCTGACATTACTACGTATATGCCTCTTGTGTTGTCATCTCTCAACCGCAAACCGTGCTCAATGATTCCTGTAGTATATACACTGGGCACTGTGCTTTAACTAATGCATGGGCTTTCCGCCTCTTTTCCAACTGTAGGGGCTGTGTACATGCATATGTAGTGGGTGTTTGTGTGGTGTTTCGTGGAAAATATATCATCTTTCTTGTATGTGTGCGTAGGAGCTTCGTGGGTTACACCAACAACTGAAAATCATCACACATCACTTCATCTACGGAGTCCACTGTCTTGCTCAGAAAAAGTCAGTCCTTGCACACAACAGTGTAATAATTTTGCACACACACGCGCGCACACCACATTTCCCCCATCTCTCTATTTATTCATGATCTGCACAGGCTGGAGAGTGCCCTGGTCCGATCGGTGTATGCCTACAAACTTAACTGGGAGCTGACTAGGCGAGCAGGTGACAGAGCTGGTCTCAAATCATTGATACTCGGAGTTCTCAGAAGAAGAGCACTTATGGTAAAGTATCCAGTGGCTGTTCGTATAATGACAATGCCAGTGACATTGTGCATGCTGAATTTTGTGCCGTAACCAGTGGTGGGTGGCCATAATACTTCTGAAGGCCAAGTATTGAGAGCCATCAGGAAAATGTGGGGTGGGGTAGCTGAACTAATGAGAATTATCTTATCCTCAGATTTGTAAACTCCCACTCTTACATTTTTCTTTACCGAACCCCTAGCCCTGTTGCCTTATAGTGTACCATGTACTCCTGTTCTTTCATGGCCTTAGTTAAGTAAACCCCGATAAAAGAACCCATTTTCCTGTTGTGTGGTGATTAGATAAATGTCTGGATAAGGAGTATTCAGTAATGTATAGTCCTCTCCTTCTTCGTCTCCCTCAGGAGGTGAGCCGGGGTGCCATAGGTCTGTTTGACCAGGGCAACGTGCGGGCAGCGCTAGAGATGGCCACCGATTTCCTGGTCCCAACGCTCAAGTCAATGTCGGAGCTGCGGTGTCAGGGGGACGACGGTGTGATGGAGAGAGTGAGAGAGGAATGGTGCAACTGTCTCACACATCCTTCCCTCTCCAGCAGTGAGTCCCTGCTGACACCCATACAATGTATTGGCAACACGTACATCGATATTTAACTAAATGTGGCAGCATATAAGGACTAAGGAAATGTTACTAAAGATAGAACTACACAATAGGATCCAGTGCAAAATGCAATTGAGTTTCTGTTTTCAGTAACAGCTTCTAAATTTAGCCCTTGTATACTGCCACTTCCCTGTTGCTACTAATGCACATATATACTTTAATATTAGTGCACTATAGTGGGGCTTTAAATGGAGAATAATACGTACGTATATGCATGTCTCTGTGAAGAGAGAAAAATACACATCGCATTGGTACATAACTTGGTATCGAGGTAGAAAGGCAAGTCAAGGCAAACAACCCTCCCTCCCCCCTCTCTGCAGGTGAGCAAGACCAGCTGGCCGACGTCCTGGCGAGAATGTTTGAGGAGTTCTCAAAGTCCCCCGACCTGGAGCTGCCGCCGGTCCCGCCCACTCCCGCCCTCGACCCCTCCAGTCTCTCGTCAGACTACAACACTGTCCTCCAGCAACTCGGACAACTAGTCAAGTCCTAGCACCAGCCAGCTCCACTGTCTTCTTAGTCCAATTCATTATCACACACTTGTTATGTAATAACCAAAGCCATCTACTGATCATCTTTATAATTATTATTTTCTCTGATCGATATTATACATTATTATGCCGGACAGGCATACTGTATATACACCTCTTGTATGTTAAACAGGTCGAGCTAATGTTACAGTAAGTAAGCTCAGGGAATAAGGATGTCCGCCCTAGGTTGGACCCTGGTTTACAAGTTGATACTTACGTAACCTGTGATGTAGTCAGTAATAATGCACAGTCAACAGGGTTTGGGCAGCAAATGTATGTAGCTTAGCCTCTGATTAAAATTGTTACGAGCAGGATAAAAAGACAAATTAGATCTAGTGACAGAGAGACAAACAAGAGAGGTATATCGGTTATAGCTAGCTATGCACACTGATCAGAAGCAGGTAGGAAGGGGTCAGTGGAGTTGATGCTGTAGTGGACAGGACCGTAGTAGGGATTGAAGTAACTGCTGCGGTCTGCCGGACCCACTGCCTGGACCAGGATGAGTAGGAAATCCACCAGATGACCGATGAACATGAACCCTAGGGTACACAGCTTGGCCAGACCTGAGGGAGGGGAGGGAGAGAAAGGGGGAGTGAGGATATGGGGGAAGTGGAGGAGAGATGGAAAGGGAGAGTGAGGGACAAGGTGAGGTAAAAGGAGGGACGTAGCGAGGAGGGATTTGAAAGAAAGAAGGGAGGCGGGCAAAGAAAGGAGAGCGGGATGAGGGGGAGAAAGAATATGGAAAGAGTAGGAACCATGATTCAGAGTGTCAGGAGTCTCACCAATGGCTGGGTAGCCGAGGTAGAACCTGTCGATGCCAAGCATTCCGAGGAAAAGAGAGAGTGCGACTGCAACACGATAGTTGTAGCACGGGACACCGCCACACAACTTCCTGTTGGAACCACAACCATGATGAAGTAAACCTCTGAACAAAGATCACGTTGGAGTCATCAAAAGCTTTATTCAGAGGTGTTCATTATTAAAATGTATCGCTATATGGGGCAGAACCAAGTGTCCAGAGAGGTATAAAAGTGGTTGAGTGACCACCCCTTGCAACCACTAAGCTATCCGCTATATACCTGTATAACTCACACATATCTGCACGATCGCTCTTCAGTGAAGCTACACTCTATCCCGTTGAACGTTACGCCGCCGCAGGTGACGTTGGGGGCTGCAAAACACGGCACATCCACTCTCCCGTTCGATCTACAACCAGCCTCGCTCTGTGTCCGAGTGTCGATGGTTGGCTGGTGGCAGTAATACCTTGCTAGAGTCAAGAATTTTACCTCACTCAACACTGACTACTTTTAGATACGTTACTCGGGCGTATACGTTACTACTAGTAGCGTAGAGAACGAGAAAAGTGTGGTAGATGGGGATACTGTCCGATTCCAAGTTCGTCTCGACACGCGTTCTGCACCATCACCTTCACGTCATCACACTCAACTGCCTCCGCTCTCTCCAATGGGACAAGGAAGGCCGCCAAAAGCGAGATCGACAGTCCCAGCACCGTCATCCTATGGCTAGCTCGGTCAACACAAGGTGTTCATTTATTGGAGTAGGCCCCGCCCATTTTGTGCATACTTCGTACCCGATTCCAGATGCCAGGAACGGAACAGAATCAGCTGAAATAAGGCGTGGCTAAGGGTTCTCTCTTGCCATGCGGCTTGTTTGAGCTGTTCACTGCAGTGGTGCAGTTCCACTGGCCATGAATTAAATTCTGGGCGACCTATAAAAGGTCCAGGAAACGTTAAGGATCATCCAACGTTAAAAGTAAACACTGGTGGCCTCGTGTGCGCGGGAGAGAAGATGGCGGAAGGAGATGCGCTGGACCAGACGCAGTACATCCAGCGGCGGGTCTACACGGACCCCACCATTCCCCCCGCTCCTCTGGACCTCCACTCTGCCTCGGCGCTGGGCAACTACGAGTGCGTGCAAGAGGCCATCAGCTCCAAGCGGGACATCAACCGCAGAAACAAAGGTGAAAACCGGTTTGTTATGATCTGAGCCCTTGAAAGTGAATCACATTTGCACCGTATTTGCATGTGACTTGTGTGTAAAGAAAGGTGAAAAGCTGGTTAGATACGTCCCCTGTTGTATAAACTGAGGAGCTCTACAAAACATCCGAAAATGAATCGCTTTTCCATCAAAAAGTTTGCTTTTGATCTACGTGGGTGCTGTACATATTTGAAAATGAGTCACTTTTCCATCAAAGTGTGCTCCTATGTCTGCATGCGTATTATAGTAGCACTAGGAACAGACAGTGGTAGAATTTGGTTCGCCCGCCATGCACCACCAGTCGCGTACGATGTTGACATTTTTCCGACCACGACAAACGAGGCGTAATCTGCTCAAGAGGTTGCTGGTATGGGATAGTGTGTAGCACATTTTAACGTTCACCTATTCAACTGCCATGGATCTCTAAACATTCTTCGTTTGGGTGGTGTCATTGAATTTTACAAGGAATTGCAGGTGGCTCCAACCAGCCATTACATCTCTGTGTGTAATGATCCCATAAGACTGCAGAGAGTCGTGGGGCGAATCCCGCCCAAGGCAGCTCTTCTTAATTGTAGTAGTTGACTTGTTTGCTTTGCCTTTTGCCTTGCTACTACCTCGTTGTGACTTAGTATACAACCCTGACCCTCTGCGAGTGTCCTCATGTCAGAGGTGTCCTTGGAGAGGGTATTGATGCCCACTCTGCCATATACAGCAGTCGCTGATGGCGTGTTGCTGTAGTTGTTGTTTCGATTCTAAATACATAGTTGCCCCAAGCAGTAACGAACCAAACATGGTCCAATCCCCAGAGAGAAAGGAAGTTGTAGCTTATCTAGTGGCATGGTGATGGGTGTGAGTCACCTGCCAGCCATCCTGCCGTTGCTAGGAGGCAGACAGCGCTCCCTCAAGAATCCTGGATCACCGCTAGAAAGAAGTGTGGCATGCTCTTTGCCAGGCTGGGAGTAAACGTGCACCTTATCTTGATAATACATAGCCAGCTCATTCAATAAACCCGGCAGACAAAAGGCTCTGAAGGACAGCATAAGAAAGGGCCGCTGCACTAAAGAGGGTGTGTGCCTTATGTGCTCTAGCAGAGAGTCAAAGTAAGGGACAGAGGCAAATGAGAGACATGGGAATATATGCTCATTGTACATGGTTGACTATGGGGCCGAAAGCCCATAAAGCTAGCATACTAGTTGGTTGGGTGGTGCATTAAGACACCACAGCTTTCTCACTACACACCACGTGTGGAAATGTGGAATTCGGAATTCTCAAGCAGACACTTTTGATGATGGCAATTTACCCTCCAATAATTGTCTACTCACGCCAAGAATGCGTGTAAATTCAGTTTTGCACTTTGCTCTCAGCATTTCTCCCCCTTCTACCCTTCCTCCCTCTTCCCCTCTGTCTGTTAATACCTGGTACACAGCTGGATGGACACCACTGATGTACGCAGCCTATGTCAGCCACGATACAGTGGTGAACCTGCTACTGGAGGCCAAGGCCGACCCTAACAAGGGGACACCCGGTGGACTGACACCACTCATGGTAGCTGCTCGCTGCGGCAATGAATCCATCTGCTACTTTCTCATCCAGGTGCCCCTTCATTAGTATGGCGGGAAAATTATAAAGGAGACAATATTGTGGTTTAAGCATGAAGTTGTTCAATTTGTAGGAAGGGATAATTTCTGTAAAGTTATTTCGCGGTTCATGGGCTACCCCATCTATGAAGGCATTCACAATCAGAAATTGTGTAGGCAGAAACTTTTTTTACAGCAGGACAAGAATTATCCCAAGTTAAGGTTTCGTGTATGGTTCAGTACACAGCTATGCAATCTGGACCATGTGGAGCCTGAGGGCATGTGTGCTGATAGTCTTTTATTTGGGTTCAGTTGGTGCTATATAGAATGACTGGTGGCACAGTGTGTGGAAACAACAGCGTAAACATCTGATTTCTCTAGCCTGATTTTCGTCCCCCCTCCCCTTCTCTCTCTCTCTCTCTCTCTCTCTCTCTCTCTATTTCTTTCTCTGTCTCGCGTCATCTTACAGAACGGTGCCAAGATCGATCCCCAGGACGAGACAGGGTGCACGGCGCTGTTCCACGCGGTGAGGCAGGGCCACCAGACTGCCTCTCAACTGCTACTGGAGTCAGGAGCCAACCTGGAGATCAGGTGAGGACCCCACTCCTCTGGGGAGCAGGGTGATGCTATACCCGGTGGAACCCCTCTTATCTGGACACCAGTGGGATAGAAGAAAGTGTCCATATGTATTAGCGAGGTATCCATACACCTCAGGGGTTAAATTGCATGCAACAACTGTTTATGGGAGGAGAAAATGGAGAGGTGTCCTTCATTCCAGGTGTGTCTTTAGAGAGGGGTTCCACTGTATTGTATACCAGTGGGTGGGAGGTTAAAATGCTCTGTCGGCTGTTGACTAGAGGTGAATAGGGTTTTTCAAACAAGGATGGTTGGGAACTCTGTATAGCTGTTAATTTCAGGAGGCACCCCATCCCAGCATCTGTAACCCCTGCTCTACATGGTATATACAGACGGCTTGGCTCTGATTGAAATGTCATTGGAATGAACAAAAGGGAAATGGCTGAGGTCTGAATTGCGTCTATTGAGGAATATTTGGCCCAATTCCACCGTCTGACGGACTGGCCAACTGCCCGCTTTGCCATATCTCGCAGAACAGACAATTATAGCTTCCTTCCCTCAATCTCTTCCACATTACCTTATAGCTGAAAAACTTAGATGGAAGTTTGGCAACCACATAATAAAAATCCAGCGAGAAAACAAACTTTTGTATTGCATTGGCTTTTGTACAAATTATCCATCTCCACACAAATTTTTCACGGAGATGTTTAACTACAAAAGTTTCAATCCTCTAATTTTGCACTCTGTATATACAAACACACACGCTGTGTTCAGGGAGAAGGTGAACGGACTAACTCCGCTGATGGTGGCTGCATTGGAGGGAGACGAGATTATCGTCGATGTTCTCATTGCCTGCGTGAGTCAGTGACCGTAATTCATTCTAGAAGTGCAACATTTTAACAATTCGGAGACATTTCTGCAGATTTTCGCTCGTAAAACAACTGGTTCATGTATTAACACCGCAAATGTACCAAAAAAACCTTAAACTTTTGCACCTTAACATTTTGGCATGCTACAGTATCGTTGCAACTCCTCCGATTGCATGCAGACAAAGTGAGTGTATATAGGTTGACAGTGTTTGCATGCAGCGGGGCACACGCACCACACAGGGAGCCAGTCTACAGCAGAAGAACAATGAAGGTCTCACCGCTCGCTCCCTGGCCCTCAACAACAACCACGTCCGTATCGTCACCCTCTTCGACAACACCGCGAGACTGCTCCAGGAAGAGGAAGGTGAGCATGCACACCCCCTATCTTGCCCCGTCTCTTATTTTCCTTTTCTCATAATTGAGTGACTTATGCACACACAAACTAGTCCTTGCAATGGGAATTGAAGCACCAAATCCTAGCGAGGGATAATCTTCAACAGTAATATGAGAGATTATTCAGTTTTACATGCACGTTAGTAGGACACTTCACTAATTTTCTCTAGTCCCATAGGTGTCTGCGATTAGGGGGTTGAATAGGGAGATAGTATGTCTGCACCAGAAACAGGTTTTACATGCACATTATTAGGAATACCTCCCTACTTTTCTGTTGTTCAATTGGGCATCTAGATTTTATATAGGGAGACACATAGTCTACCTGCACCAGCAACACAAGCTGGAAGAAAATAATGTTGTTGATTTGTCCACTGACTCCAGATGTGAGGATGGGAGGACCGGCGGACGACGACTCAGAGATGCTTGGTGGAGAGAAGGAGATGGAGGCCTACCGACAGAGCATGGCGGTCAAGAGGGCCATCCAGATGCAGCTGGGTCACCGCTACGGACCTCGCTGGAGCATCCCCGAGTGTAAGCTCCTTGCCGCACGCAGCAAACCGTGTTTGCGTCACTGAAGCTCAACAACCGTGTATTATACAATGTGCTTACCGATTTGACAGGGCCTCTGGCAGTATTATGAATACTACCAGTGGTTATACCCAATGATTGTTTTACGTGCTTTGTGTTCTCCAGTGAGGAGAGGAAGCATGCCGGTCACCTCTCTGCTGCAAGAGAGAAAACTACGTTACGCGGTGAGTCCTGGCAAAACAAAACACAAGACTTGTGTGAGGGTTTTGGTGGGGGCAAGGGGGTAAATCACCCCTCCCTAACCAATAGTTGTACCATCTAACAAAAACATTAGTGTATACAGTACCAGTGTAAATGTAACTTTTGGTGAAAAAATGTCTCACGGACATGGTCTGACAGCAGCCTGTGTTGTGTGCTAAAGCAAGTATTTGAGAAAAATACTTTTGCGCCAATAAAAATGTGTTTCCACATGAAAGTAATGTCATAGGTATGCCAACACCTAACCTGCGTGTTTCTGTAAACTGGTGTCCCACAGATGTCTCTTCCGGAGTCAGAGTTTCCTCCGATGCTGATGGGAGGAGACATGGACCCACGACGAGGGGGCAACGGGATCGAGTCCCTCGCAACGGTCCCCGAGGAGAACGATCGGCTGTCGGCCTTCCTCCAGGAACTGGGGCTGGGGAAGTACGAGGAGGTGTTCCAGCGACAGGCCGTGGACTACAAGACCCTTCTCTCGTGTTCAGACAACGACCTCAAGAACCTTGGAATCAAGTGAGAACAGAGAGAGAATTGGAAGACATACACACATATGTACATCCCCTTCTTTGTCTCTCCTTCCTCCTTATTCCTCCGTCTTCCTTCTCTCTCTCTTACTCTTTCCCTGTCTCTCCCACTTCTCTTTCTCCCTTGTTATTCTCCCCCCCCTTTCCACCCCTGCTCTCTTCTCCCTTCATTTCTATTCTCTTTCTTCTCTCTCTCCTACCTTTTCCCTGTCGCCCAGTCTCCTGGGCCCACGTCGTAAGCTGTCGATAGCCATTGCAGAGCTGAAGGAGAAGGAGGAGAAGCCCCAGAGAGGGGTGTCCTCTCTCCCCTCCAGTATCAATAGAGGACCGGGGAGAGGAGGGGAGGGGGAGGATGGGGTGGATGGGGGAGGAGGTTACAGCAAGAGTAGCGAGAGGGGGAAGGGCCGGGGGCGAGGGTCACGCCCACAGCTCTACAAGCAGCCCAGTACAGAGTTGCAAGCAGCCTACCATCAGGTGAGAGTTATACTTCACTCACACTGTAGCTAGCCTGGAACCCCTCCAATTCTGACGCTATTTGCATAGATAGAACTGTTGTTGAAAGGTGTCCTTATTATCCCATCAAAAACACGAGCTCTAGTGATGTTTTACTCATGTACTACATAGTCCATTTTTGTGACGCTGCGCTCATCTCCATGACAACAGTATATATTATATCCCACTATATATGTACTTTGGGTCCCTGAATGGTTGAGAGCTATAGGTATGTAGGTTGTAGTATAACATCTATGTATCACATGTCGAGCTAGCCCAATACTTCAAGTAGATGCATGCAAATGCCAACAAATTGCTAAATAACATGATATGGACTTTGATTAAACCTATCACTTCAGTCTGCACTTAAGTTGGTGTTGATGTACGTATACTCAGACGAAGAGAAGAAAGTAAAAACAAAACTGACTTCTATCGGCCATCCCCCTCTCGCTATTCTAAGTTCATTATGACCAGTAACCATGTCACTTTTCACTGAGCCACACAAAAGCCGATCTTTCTCATTTGTCACTGATGTGATACGGATGCAGTGCATACTGTATGTATGTGAATCACTGCAGAGATGTTTTAACCGTCATTGAATGTGTTGTGGTCAGGCGATGGAGAGAGTGGAGCAGTTGGAGAGCCAGTTGACCCAGGAGCACTCCCTGCGCAGCGCTGCAGACAGCTACCTCCTGGAGCTACAGCAGTCTCGCCAGAGAGCTGCCTCCTGTCTGGCCGGGTTGAGGGATGGACAGAGCGACACTGCCGCTCACTGCAACGCCGTGAAGTGGGTGGCAGGAAGAGCGTGTGACTGTGTGTGTGCGTGTAGGAGAGAGAATGGGAAAGATGCTGCAAAGGGGGAGAACATGTCACTAGGAGTTGTATTTGGTTCCATATGACTGTGCCAAACAGATCACCTGGAGCTCCAGAGCCACTTACATAAATTGTGGAACTATGGCTGTGGTGCTTGTGCCTGGACTTTTCCTTTTGTTCCTTCCCATCCCAGGACAACAAATGTGCAGCTCTCCAAGGAAGTGGCAGCCCTGCGCACCCTGTCTTACTCCCCCTCCCCCCTCCCTCCCCTCTCCCGGATCCACTCCGAGCTGGTGGCCCTCTCCTCGCGGCTGAGTCTGGAGGTGGAGGCGCTCTCTCGTGCCGTCGACGTAGCCCAGCAACACTCCGACTCTCTCGCCTACAGCCTCCTCTCTTCCTCTCCCTCTTGACCCTCTCCCTCGTGACCTGTTATCTATGTGTATAGCAGCCAGTGTGTTACAGTGTATATATAGGACTGGGGGAAATCATGTCAGCTGGTCTTTTTTTAGTAACATTCACTTTGAATTAGCCATATCTTATCTCGCTCTCCCCATTCCTGTCTTTCTGTCCAATAGAAAACACAACCAACTATCCAAATCTTGCATCATCTTCCTCTCCATGGGAAGGGGGGTAAAAGTAAATGCCCTGCAATAAACACTACCATTCGAGAATAATATGCGCATGCGCAACGTGCGATTCTAAATAATGCGCAAATTTAGGCGCAAAAGCAGAGGCGGGGCTGCTGCAGACAATGAGTGCTTTAGCCGAGAAAGAGGTCCTGAAGCGATCGCGGGCTCCCAGTCTCGCCTCTGTGCAGAGCCTCAACTGCTGGGGATGTGGATTCACGGACGTTTCTGTGTTGGCAGCAGCCGAGAATCTGGAAGTACTGAACCTCAGGTGACCTGTCGAGTTTTAGAGCTACAGCTAACAGGGTTCCTGTGCTCTTTTGGTACCTCTCTTGTCGTTCACATGCAGTTGCAACCAATTGACATCCCTCCAAGTATTGTCCCACTGTAAGAGCCCTATTTCCATCTCCAACCACAACCCCTATTTCAACTGGTCGGTGCTGGTTTTCAGGTTCAAACCTGCGAGAGCTGTTCCTTCGCAAGAACCAGGTGACAGACTTAGCTCAACTCCAGCCTCTCCAGCAACTGAAGAACCTGACAGTGAGTGCAATGCATGCAAGTGTAGCTATGCCATGTTTAGGGAGGGTCTCCGTCTGTAACACGTTGCTAAACTGCAGGTGCTGTGGTTGAGTGGGAACCCAGTTGAACAGGAGACTGACTACAGAGCTACAGTCATCCAGATGTTTCCCCAGCTAGTGTCTCTGGATGATTCCAGTATGTATGTATGTATGTACACCATCGTTGCAGTTTGGCTGAAATAGAAGGACACCAACTTTAAAAGGATACCTCACTAATAAGGACACTTTCTTTCGTCCCCTTTTTGTCCAGATTAAGTTGCTGTGCTCTCTTCACTGCTGAAGAGGATTGTAGACTGTGTATTGGTTGAACTCAGAAACAAATAAGTGTTCATATTAGTGAGATGTCCTCCTTAGAGGGGTTACTATTTCAGCATTGTCATAATTATGCAAACCAGAATTATTGGCCCTGTGTCTCACTCCAGTAGTGACAGAGGAGGAAAGAAGAGAGGCCAAGAACTCAGCCACACAAAACCAGAAGACGGGTGGGGCGGGGGAGGAGAGGAAGGGAAATGTCCTGAGAGCTGTGCTGTACTTACTGCCAGAGTTGACCCAGCACGAGTTAAGAGCAGTGTGTGAGGCTGCCGGGAAGATGATGACTGAACAATAGGAAGGCACCACACACACTGGCTATCGACTTCTTATATATACTGAGCCAACAGCCATTAAAATGGCCTGTGTGATTATGCACGCTGCACCAACTTAATATTTAGCCTAGGATACCCATTCACAAAATCTGGCAGTCCAGTAAAATGAACTACTAAAACATGGCTTACTCTTACTGTTACTTGCAGATGTCACGATTAATTCCGATAAACTTCTTTCTTTCATTATATCACACACACACACGTGATGATGATCAATAAAGTGATGTGCACGCATTCAAATAAACTGGTGAAGTAGACTAACTTTTGTAGTTTAGTGAATCAGAGAGAGAGAGAGAGAATATAACAACAGTGGGTGAAGTGATAAGAATGCCTGCAGAATATGACATAAGGTGAAAGAGAGAGAGAGAGAGAGATGGAGGGAGAAAGAGAGATGAGGAAGAGAGAGAAAACCTGATAGAAATCTGTGAATGAGTGAGTGAGCGAGCGGTAATAAAATCTGACTACCTAAACTGTACTTTACATACATAATACATTATGATTATGATGATTATGACAGAGAAAACGCGACGAGACAAGAGGTGACAGGGTAGACAGGGTCCGTCCATTACTGGCTGGCTATCTGGAGCTGAGGACGTTTGTCTTTTTCCTGGGTCTGAACATCGTGTAGTTCTCCACCTCCACTGACTGAGGGTCCACCTGGTAGGCCAGCGCTGCCATCAACTTGTCCATGTCAAATATCCCAGAGGGCACAAGGACCTGTAGCATTGGGGAAACACAGCACATTAAACGGAGAATTGACTTTAGCTACTCTATGTTCATTTCATCATTATAATATAACCATTGCTAGAAGCAATATTCATGCCATTTCTATGTGAACTAATGGAGAAGTGTAAGTGGGTGTGTCTCTGCTGTGGCTAGCAAGTCAATAGGTTTGTGTCCTATAGACTCAGCAAGAGTAGTGCATACAATAAAGGTCCAAGGCAAGTTACGTAGCAGTCCAGACTGTGACTCCATCTACTGCAAACAAAGCTCACTGTCATACAGCAAAAACGGACACCAAAGAAACGAGACAATGGCACAAGCACTGGTGCCGACACAACCACCCACCTACCTTCATGATATCCTGAGGATCAATGAGGTGAAGTTTGATGTGCTTAAGCAGCGGAGTCACCAGCGACTTGAAATCCGGTCCGGACGGCTTCGAGTGGAGCTCTCCCCACGCAAACGCCGCATTCACTTTCATGATCTCGGGCAGGTCTGCGGAGCTCTCTCTCTTCAGCACCAGGTGTACCATGTTCTCCGAGAGCTGGAGGAACTGCTGCGACAGTAGAATCTCGGCTGCGTTGGTGTCGATAAACTCGAGGCACTGGACGACAATTCTCTTGGCAGCTGCGAACGAGAGGTACTGCTCGAGCTGCGTCAGGATGAGGCAGATGGACGCCACAGAGAGACAGCTGGGGAGGTTGTCCAGACAGGCCTGTTTGAGCTCTTCCACTTCGAACCGCTCGGCAACGCAGGCGATGCCGACCACCGTCTCCGGTCGTATGGAGCACTGGCCAGTCATCAGGTAGCTGAGGAGCTCGCCAAACACCAAGTTGTCGAAATCTTCTACAATGTACTGGAGAGTAGGGGAAGGGAGGGGAGGGATGGGAAAGAGTAAAAATGTCGTCTGGAGTGGTACATAAATGCCAAACATACCTTTTTATTAAGACATGTGTTTTGATTACATTTGCCACTACTAAGACAATGATTTTGATTTCCTGTATGTACTTGGTGCACATGGAATTTGGAACCTAATTAATGTGAACTCCACCAAAAATGTGTATTTCAACAAGCTATAACTTACAATGGGATGTTTGATGAATTAAGCAGGCATTGTTCATACAAACAAGAATCTACCTGTAAATGAACACTGCGATAACACATAGTGACTTTGGTGCTTCGGGGAGAGCACAATGTGTTGTTTAATTCCCCCACATGCTCTAGCACATGAATTACCTGCTCTAGCACATGAATTACATGCTCTAGAACATGAATTACCTGTTCCTTTATGTTCATGTTGCGAGGGTCTTCACAGAAGAAGAAGGACGGAGGGTCAGGCGATGCACTCCTGGTCAGATCCTGGGCCGACTTCTTCCTCTTGATCAGAGCCAGTTTTGGCTTGGCTCCCGAGTGGGACAGTTTCCGGCTGCCCTGGGGACTGATGACGCAACTTGCTGTTGGTAGCCGCTTGCGAATCATTGGACTGGTGAACCTTCGAGATGGACTCTGTGCCTGGCCTTCCTGGAACATGGTACGGAATACTCTGTGTGGGGGGAGGGGGTACAGAGGAGGGAGAGAAGAAGGAGGAGAAGAGAGAAAGAAATCAACTATGATGTTGTGTAATAGGAATGTAGCATTAGGCGAGCAAGCACAGTTGAAATACAATGTACGTACATGGTGAAAGTGTGGCCTATGACGGTCAGCAGTGCACTATGATACAATGACTATCATTGATTCAGACGACCATGTAGTCTATGCTTGTTCAACTGTAACTATAACGTAGCCATCCTGGAAAGGACTACATATGCCATGGGAATGCTCTCTATGGGCGCTCGGCTTACTATAGAAATCCATCTGTCTCACCAACCAACCATCTCCTCTTTCAGAGACACCTACACATTCACACAGAGTCCTTTTCCCTCTCTCTACATACTACACAAACAACCACCGGTATGACCTCACACAGTATGGGCAAAAGAATGGAGTATGAAGGACATGTAGAGTGCTGTGGTTCCTAGGTTCCTACTCATATCCCCTTACCTGGAGCCCAGTGTAAGTGTGGTTACCCTATGGGGGGGCTGGGAGTGCACCACATAATGCCGCTTACAACTGCACAATTACAGGGCTTATTGGAGCAAAGTAAACCTGATTTACTGTGGGAAATGCAACAGGAGTGGTGCTGAACCACAGACCACACACACAACACGATAGGGATGTCATATAGATTCTGTGGCCTAGTAAACAGTTGGTCCTAGGGGAATAAGGCTCTCAAAGGGCTGTGTAAACAGTGTTGTTGTAGTGAAAGTTCCAGTGTTTTTAGAAGCGAGTAAACTATGTGTTGTGCCTCAACAGTGTTGAAACAATTCACATGCATACTGTGGTACACTTTGCTTGCACAGAGGAGAATGGTGCGGTTTGCAAACCTTTACCAACTTGATCTTCAGCTATGGCAACTTAGCCATAGCATTTACGTACATACATAGGGATAAGGGGTAAAGGTAGGGAGATGGGATGGCAATTCTTAATGGACCAAGTGACAAAACTCATACAAAACAACACGTAACACGTTTATGTTGCATGTGCAAAGCTTTGTCCACACGTACGTTCATGCATGTTACATGCATACACACACACATCAGATGTGCGGAGGGCAATATCAAAGGCCACAATGTACCATGCACACTGCACGATGTCGGGCATTTGTAGTCAGACACACACTGGTACATCCACTACCATTCACACCCTACATCACTGGACTAAGTGGACACAAATGGGATCTGTACCGCTCAGCGTCTAACAGACTAGCTGGTGCACAAAGCCACCGCCGGTATTAGCAGCAGTGTGTGTGTTACGGCTCTTTCACAGCGGTGGAGTACTTGTGTGTTCATACGAAAATGAGATCTGCATGTCTGGACGCAAGCAAAATGCATGCGGTATGTAAACTGTTCTTGGGTAAAGAAAAGGTGTCCTTGTTAGAGAGGTGTCCTCATTTCGAGGTCCCACTGTAGTCGGGTAACATATCGGGTTGGTAGGGCAGACATGCAGACAGACATGGCCCTACCAACCAACAGAAACCACACTTTACCATTATTTACAGTAGCTTCTCTCTAATTCAAAAGGCATTAAGAGTGCAATTCAAAAGGCATTATTATGGTTTCTATTGTGCTGTAAATAAAGAAGCAGTTATGTCATTTAAGAGGACCACCAAATGGAATGCACGCACTAGAAATTCGACAGTCCTATCGGGTGAAATATGTACTTGTTTCGTAGAGAGAAGAGAGAGCTGACCTGCTGCGACATGCGAGGATGGCCTTCACGGCGTACAGTGGTGTGTGACTGTCTCCGACAATGAAGGCCACGTCAGCCAGCTCGCAGCCTCGGAAGGCCACCTGAAAGTCTTCGGCCAACTGATCACTGTTGCAGTGTTTCTGGTGGACACTGTCCAGCATTGGAGATGGAGGGCTGAGAGAGGAGAGGGGGGAGAGGAAGATGAGAGGGAGAAAGAGAGAAAGCTCAACCAATTGCCTTAAAAGCAGGGTGTCAATGTGAACTAAGGGCACAAGACTTTTTAAAACCAGCACACACTCTCTGTCTCACCGAGTGGCTCCGACAGGCAGCCAGTTGGATCTCCTGTTGATCTTCCTGGTGGCCCGGCCCTGCTTGCTTGCCATGGCATACTCCGCAAGACTCTCTGTTAGTTCCAGTAGCAGCTGTGCTCTCGAGCGGTTCGTGAGCCGCATAAACTTGGGTGCGTGGTAGCTGGCCCGCTCTCCATTGATGATCTTGGTGAGTATGAGTTGCTGGAGGGAGCGACTGTGGGGGAATAGGCCACTCGTTCTCAATTCAGGGGTGAAAGTGGGGACAGTGCTGCGAGTGGCAACACCAATCTGTGAGAGAGGAGTGAGAGGAGAATGAAGGAGAGAGAGAAAGACAAGAGACAACAAAAGAGAGAGAGAGAGAGAGAGCGAGATATGCATCACTGGGAAGTTTTAGCCCCCCACACAATGCAGAGCTGACAGGCGAGTGTGTCGTGTACTGAATGGACGGTCATTGGAACAGTTCACACAGTCCAAGCCAAGACCGTAACCATACACATACACCCCCAGGTTTCACACCAGTTCTACCAATGCATAAAACAGGATCAGGTGGCCTTTCAACACAGGTTTTATGTGGTGGTGAATATGGCAGGTGAAGACACTGTGGTTGCACACATGAGCACAAATAAACATGTTACATACACACACAACAGGTCTGCAGACGTCGGACTGCAAGCTAGCAAGGGCTGCGTGCGTGTGTGTGTGAGCTAATAGGACGAGTAATTTGTTGGATGGTGCACACGTCTGCCCACAAGCCCACTGCTCTCGCTGAGCCAGCTTCTGGGGAAACACATGCTTCCATCTGAATCCGAGACAACACACTCTCCAGTCATTAGATCCACAACTGTATCGTTATTACCAGTGATCTTCACTAGCCGATCTACAGCTAGGGGTCTGAATTTTGTATCGACAGGAGTTTGAATTGTGCCCCAACAGTACCGTCACTACAAAACAGTGTGAAAATGTCGTAAGCCGTTAAAAAGTGTATGCACTTGTACTCATGCATGCTTGCTAAAGAAACATTCCTATTCCTAAAAAAGCGAAGGGATGAGTTCAAACATGCTAAGCTATACTGGGCTCTCCCTCCGCTTTTCAGAGGGTTCACATCACAATTGTGCGTGGAGAGGAAGAGCCTGGGAATGAGGCTACCAATGTACTCATGTTTGATAACACACCTTGTACAGAGGCTGTCCGCGTGCTCCGGGGATGTGTTGGACCACAATGTAGCAGTGGATGAAATTGGGAACGGACCCACGTGGGGTTGAAGACTGCTCCTGGCTCGTCGAGGAACACCACACACACCATGTCGTTGCCAATGTGTCGCTTCTTGTTTACCTGTCGTGGGGGAGGGGGAGCATAAAGAAGGGAGGGGAAGGGACAAGAGAGTAGGAGTGCATGCTAGAGAAAGACTAAAAAGGAACAAGAATCACTATTGTAAAGAGCAATACCTAAAGATCAAGTTTACTGGGATTACAAATTGGGGCAGTTCTTGCCAAGAGGCACATAAGGTGTATTGCGTGCATCAGTGACGTCAGCGTCAGAGCAATTAGGGCTCAATACAAACAGCCAAACAAGGGAAAGAGGCAGGGAACTACGTATGTGGCTCAAAAACAATAAGACGCTTGGTTGCATCATCAGGGACGGCAAGTATTACTGAATGGCTGAGGAGCTCAGTAATGTAATAAGGGGACAGATAAGAAGTCACCATTAGATTAATACTCAAGACTATCATTGACAGACGGTTCAGCGAATGGGCAGTCGACTGAGTAAGAACATTCACATCACCAGATGCAGGTGTCTTGCACGCACAGTGAGTGCCACTGGACAATACATACACACTGCACACAGAGGCAGGATGGGTCTTTGATGTGCATATACGTACCTGCTCCTTCACTGGCAGCGCAGCTCAATAGGGCTTTGAACCAAAGGCCACACAATAGCATTATGCAAACACGTCTCACGCCATAAGGAACGCCTAGTTCAGAGATGGCAGGGTTTGGGTGGAACGCCTAGTTCAGAGATGGCAGGGTTTGGGTGGGTCCTTACCGCCACTATAGCTCTCCTAACTTGTAAGATCAAAATTGAAACTACACGTTTAACAGTACCGATTTTAACCAACTATGTGAACTAGTGAAATACCTGTTGAGGGTCGTTGCGGTCTAACGGCATGAGAGGGGCCACATGGAACATGACCTCTAACCCCATCAACTCCGTACTGACGCTGTGCTCTCCTGTCATGTCCTTCTCGTTGTCAAGTCCTCCGAGGAACCCCTGGAACCCTTTCAGACGAACTCGTTTACCTTCAGAGGGGAGAGACGAGAGAGAAAGTGGGGTAGAGGTGGGTGGGAGATGAATATGTATAATATACAAGGAGGGAAGGAGGGAAAACCAAGATCGGGGGAGAGATTAACAATAAAACATGAATCGACCTATTACTTGTTAACTAGCATGAAATTACACCTTATAAAAGGAGTGGGACTAGCTAGTTACCAGATCAGATATATCATATTTAGCCAACGGCATTTAGGAGCTACATTCCATCGCGCCTTAGCTCCTGGAGACGCACATGCACATGCACACACACACACACGCATGCGTTATTACACTGTTCCTTCTCTCTTTCTTCTTTCCTTCTCTCCCACTGTCGACACACTACATCACACACGTTACACACGCATGCGTTATTACACTGTTCCTTCTCTCTTTCTTCTTTCCTTCTCTCCCACTGTCAACACACTACATCAGACACGTCACACACGCATGCATTATTACACTGTTCCTTCTCTCTTTCTTCTTTCCTTCTCTCCCACTGTCGACACACTACATCAGACACGTCACACACGCATGCATTATTACACTGTTCCTTCTCTCTTTCTTCTTTCCTTCTCTCCCACATTGTCGACACACTACATCAGACACGTTACACACGCATGCGTTATTACACTGTTCCTTCTCTCTTTCTTCTTTCCTTCCTCTCCCACATTGTCGACACACATACATCAGACACGTCACACACGCATGCGTTATTACACTGTTCCTTCTCTCTTTTTCTTTCTTCTCTCCCACATTGTCGACACACTACTCAGACACGTTACACACGCATGCGTTATTACACTGTTCCTTCTCTCTTTCTTCTTTCCTTCTCTCCCACATTGTCGACACACTACATCAGACACGTTACACACGCATGCGTTATTACACTGTTCCTTCTCTCTTTCTTCTTTCCTTCTCTCCCACATTGTCGACACACTACATCAGACACGTCACACACGCATGCGTTATTACACTGTTCCTTCTCTCTTTCTTCTTTCCTTCTCTCCCACATTGTCGACACACTACATCAGACACGTCATACACGCATGCATTATTACACTGTTCCTTCTCTCTTTCTTCTTTCCTTCTCTCCCACATTGTCGACACACTACGTACATCAGACACGTCACACACGCACACACACAGATGTCCGACAAATGCCGACCAGCCAGACATGCATACATCTGGCCACTCCAATGCAACCAATGGAGTGTCTAGAACAGATACTTAAACAAACTGCTTTGTGTTGAACCCAAACACTAGACTGCTGTCTTCCCTGTTTTATTTCCTCACTACATATGGTGTTGCATCATATGTATTACAGCGAAGAAACACTGTCTTCTAGTAGCACACCCATAAACTCAATGGAAAACAAAGGATAAGACTCAAGAGTTACGTATATCATTGAGGCATGACTGTAAAGTTTGCTGATTTACGTGTCATACAACCACAAAGTTCATCAATTTCTACACTGTGTCATATGTCTCATAGATAAGCTCTGTGTACATTATTACCATAGCCTACCGATGGTGATAAATGCCCTGGTTCTCCATCTATGTATACACAGTCTGCTAGGAGAAGTCCACTGGGTGCCTACGGGGTTCCTACACACTAGTACATACACCTCCTCACTCTCAACCCCTGACCAGCATGACTGCCCTATATGAAGCCAGTCAGTAAATAACTCCAACTGTAACAGAGGAAGTGTGGGAGCGGTATCTTCACTATAGTGCTCCATTACTTCCCAGAGTCATGGAGTCACCCCTGAATTCATTTGGTTCCAGTCCCACTGTTTCATGCCAACAAACACACACACACACACACACCATAGTCTCAGGTTAGGCAATACACATTGAAGGACACAAGCCATTCAGGGGTGAAAACAAGACGGGCCAACAAACCCACTCAACAGTGGTGTCTATCACTTCCCACTACTTCCCTACTACCATTTGCTCCATAAATTCACGCATGACATGTCTGACTCAACATGTCTTAGCATTATCTGCCATCACATACAAGAAAGTAGAAAGTAGAAAGCTGTTAATTATAGATCAAATGATGTAGGAATGAACGAAAAGCACGAAAGTGCAAACCCTCCACGAACTGCACATGCGCCATACATTGATGGGCTGGGCCATCAGTATGCATTTCTCATGCCTAATAGCACCACACATCATACACTGAACAAAAGTCTTATCCCATGCACACCTTACCTAGCACATTAAGGAATTCGTCAAAGGAGCCAGGTTCGTTGCTATTGGCAAATATGTCTTCTTCCGAACTCTGGCCTCTCTTGATGCGAAGAACACCAACCTTGTGGTGAGATTTCACAAAGGTCTGGGAGAGAAAGCGTGTGTGAGAGAGTGAGAGAGTGAGAGTGTTTTTTTTTATTCACCTAGCACCTCAGTTTAGATACTTTTGGACCATGGAGTGTCATTGAGTGCTAAGCCTCCAATTATACTCATTGTGTGCTAGAGGTCTCTTTACTCAGACACAATAATGTTCAGAGATACATATAAAATCTGGAGACAGTGTTTCACACACAACTCGTGGAGTGTGCTGGTGCCCTCACCTCGTCGATCTTGAGCAGATCTCTCTGGAGGTCTTGAAAGAGTGCAGGTTTGAAGGAGGTCTCCAGAGCCATTTCCCTTGCCAGGACGGCCACCACCTCCTCCCTGTCGACCCTCCCCAGTTCCCCTCCCACCAGCTCCCCCACTCCCACAACACCTGTGACGTAGTGGTTGGAAGACCTTGCCAGTACCCTGCAGTGAACGAGAGAGGGTGGCATTCATATACTTTTATCATACTGTAAAGAATGTAGTTTTCCCAGATACATTTGACACTAGAGTGTTCAAAGTAAGAAACCCAAGGGTTAGTATACCTTGTACACTGTGAAAAATCACAACCAAAATAAACTGTATACACTGCACTGGATGCAGCAGCATTTAACATGGGTTCTACACATAAAGTTTTACGTCATATATACACCGTAGTGGCTGGCAGGTACATAGGCTCTATAATTATACACAGAGACTATGGATAATCACTGATGACTCGGCCACTAACAGAGACTATGGACAATCACTGATGAGTCGGCTACTAACAGACAATCACTGATGAGTCGGCTACTAACAGACAATCACTGATGAGTCGGCTACTAACAGAGACTATGGACAATCACTGATGAGTCGGCTACTAACAGACAATCACTGATGAGTCGGCTACTAACAGCTCTAAAGGAGGTTAACAGTTGGTAATGATGCGGTGACAGCCAGGCCACCAGCTGGAGGCCCCAGGAATGTCCCAGTTGGCAAGACCTGTCGTAAGATGGCCACACACTAGGAGCCCAATACACGGCATCATTGGTTAGGACATTAATACCAGATGAGGCACATTCCAGCTCCTAAGGCACAGAGAGATCAAACGCTGCGGAGCTCCAAGCAAGCCCAAGATACACTTTGTGTATGTGCACATAGAAGGCACATTACTGACACAGCAGCTAACACATGCAGTACTATACAGAGATAGAGTAGAGAGAGAAAGGATGCTGGTGGTAGGCACTAGGATGTAGATGTAATTGGCGGGGGTGAGTTTAATGCATAGAGGGACAACCACGCTAGCATCCTAACACAAGCCAATGCTATGTATGGTATGTATGTACACGTACAGTGGTTTGGCTATTGAAGACTGTCAAAACTGTAATGGCCTCAGCACATGCATGTGTAATGTGTACACTACATTGCACGGGGGACACCTGAAAGTAGTGCACTGTACACAGTGAGTCAGTCATATTGCAGCATGGGCTGATTATGCAAGGAGTGTCCCAAATATACATCAGAATAAGGAGTCTCCTAAGAAGCTGTGTGTGCACAGCGAATCGGCATTGTTGGTAAACAGGAGAGAGTTGCACACACACGCACGCACCACCGCCCACAAATGCAGCTTCAGAACCTAGCACAGCACTCAGTATGAGAAAGCCAAGAAGGTACTAAAGCCTTTAACCCACGAACACAGCACATACATCTTACAAGACCTGTGTAGTGGTATACCCATCTTTGATAGATAGGGACGACAACAAATAAACAATGGTAGGCACTACTAAAGAATAGACCACACACTTGGTTGAGGTATGATTTGAGCTGGGAAACGCGAGCCAACAATCCTCAGGGGGGGAAATGTCCAAAGCATGTCTCACCAGCCCAGCCCTGCTATGCAGCTCAAATGCACCGCGCGGACAGGTGGCCATATATAGCAACATGTTCAATCGGTGGGGCATTCATTAATGAATTGATGACAAAACAGCTGTGAATATTGGAAGTCTGTGGCCTTGACGGGCACTTAGGATTAATCAATGGCAGCACAAAGCATGCATCCACGTATGAACTGCTACGAAGGCGGGATACACTACACACAAAACACCAACACGCATTCATGGCAAAAGTAGCGAGAAAGTGTACGTATTGTCTGTACAGGTATTGCCTGCAGCGATGTTGGAACACACAGGAGTGGCCCAAGTGTTACGACTGACATGTTAGGTCACAGTTTGTATAGCCCGTGCCCCATTGATCCAATGCAGGCTCCGCTGGTCGCTCACACACACACCCTGGCCCCCCTCCGGCCATTTACGAGAGATTACGTGAAACCTGAGAGCCTTACACACCCTTTCGATCCCCTGCCTGCAACTATCTCTCGCACATGTGCACGCACAGTCCCTGGCTATGAATATGTGGTTCTGACAGCAGGTAAACATTGGGGTCACTCAACCATCCAGAAACACTACATAGCTACAGAAGACCGACTTGAAATACGTATATTCATAGCTGCCTACATCACATCGCTACTAGATCAGTGGGTGTCCACATACACTCCAAAGCACCTTCTCTATCATCTTTTCCAGGAATTGCCCCCTGTGCTAACAGTTGTAGTACACCCTAAGCTGTAGTGGCAGTAAAAAAACTTCCTTACACATAGATATAAGATAACATTAAAATCTACACTATTATTATCGCAAATAGCTGGGCATATTTGCGATATGTTAACACAGGTTGTGAGTCGGTGTTCAATGAACGTATATCTCGACCTCCTCAATGTACATGTCCTCGTCACCCCTGCTCTGATCCACGCAGACTCTAAGTTCAATATCGTCGGTCGTGGCCTGGGGAAGGTCCTTGCAGAACCAGTTCACCCTCTTGCAGCATTGCTCGGAGCCAGTCAGACAGTTTTCCCCCTCCGTGAGGCACTTTCCTTGTAACTCTTTTCATGATTGCTCTTCCTTCCACGACACCCATAGTGAGATCAAGTAAATCGTGCACCTCACAGCCCACACTATCCCATCTCCCAGTCAGTGTGGTTCAATGACTGGGATTCCTTCCCCCACACTTCCTCAGCTGTTAGAAAAACTTCCTACAAGTTACGGAGGGCCAGCCATTTTACTTCTTACAGTGAAAGTCATCTAGAGATTCCCTCTACACTTACCTTCCACTTTGGTTCCTGTACCTAGTGGTCAACACCACACAATGATTATCATACCAAGGACAAGTGAGGATGGTATAAAAGGACGTCTTGACTGGGCTGCTAGCATCAAACCTCAGTTCAGTCTGACAGCAGCTAAAGCAAAAGGAGAGAGACTGGGAAAATGAAGATACTTCTGGTTCTAGCAGTTGCAGTTGTGGTGGCAGTGTCAGGGCTTCCTTCCTGCGTCAACCTAGACCCATCACCATTACTCTGCCAGGTGTTTCTGGGAGGCACCCACTTCTGCCCCGCCACCTCGTGTGCACAGATCGCTCAAACCAGGGTGTGGGACGCTAAAGACGGCTACTATTGGCTCACCACCGACAACGAAACGTCTCAGGTTTACTGTGCACACAGTATCACCCCGAGGGAGTCGCGAGGTTGGATGCGAGTTGGACTCATCGATGCTCAAACTGGCTGTCCGTCAGACCTGGAATACTTGGTTGCTGGCGGTCGGAAACTTTGTAGGAAGACAGTCGATGTCGGTTGCAGCTCTGTTACTTTCAAAAGCAACGGAAAAAGCTACTCAAAAGTGTGCGGACGAGTCTACGGGTACACAGACCGAACTGCGGATGGGTTTCAGATACACGGGGTTTGCGGGGGTTTGCAGGAGTGCACCATAGATCAGCCATACATGGACGGTGTGAGCATCACCCACGGCAGTCCTCGACAGCACGTCTGGACTCTGGCAGCCGCGAGCTCCTACCTATCATCTGCAGCAGTGTCCGTGCAGTGACAATCCAAATGTGTCCGTCCCCCCGTACGTTGGAGGTGATTACTACTGCGACGTTGAAAGGAGCAGCACGTATCTCGATGAAGATCGGCTGTGGGACGGGAGCAGTTGTTCAGTAGGTGGAGAAGCATGCTGTGATAGGGCCAACTGGTTCTGTAAGGACCTGCCCCAGCCCACCAATGAAGATGTAGAGTTTAGACTCTGCGCAGACCAGGTCAGAGGAGACGAAGACGTGTACATTGAGTTTGCTGAGATATACGTACAGTGAAATCAACTGGGACTTGATCATTACCATAGTTTTAGACTATCTGTCATTGAACACAATGTAGTTCTACGTATACATGCTAATCAATGAAGTTATTATATTATTCCAAACAGTGACCTCAATGAGAACGAAAAGCTTGTAGTTTACCACAGGGGAAGTTTGTGGGGTAATTTACTGACCACCTTACATCCACTGTATATACTAGTTGAGAAGCAGTGGTCCCAGGACCAGCAGATACTAGAGTCACTGTACATGTAGTTTTGGCAAGAGCCTCAGACAGTGGGTTCAATGTGATTGTGTGATACACACAGGTTTTCCTCTTGTTTTGCATACCCCAGGCTTCATTGACCACACACACACACACACACCACACCCTGGCACCCTCACAAGAGAAAATCAGAGACAGATATAGCCTTACACACCCTCTCCCTCTGGTCTCTTTTCAGCCTCAAAAACAAAAGGTCTACAGATCTGTTATTCTTGCGATGATCTCCAGTCATGAATATTTAATTTCGACACGTCAGTATAAACACTCCCTCCCAGCAACCGCCACACAGGCATGCCAAAAAAGCTTCATGCATTACGTCACCACTGTAGTCTACCATCTACAAAACTACACAGCAGGAGAGTTCCTGCCTCAGCAACTACCATTCATGCGAAGTTGACTGCTGTGCTGGATCTATTAACAATGCTTCAAAGTCACCATCCAGTTGATCGAACAATTGCCCCTGTGCCTAACAAAGCACTGTGTGCACATACATTGTGCAAGAATGAATGGCCTTTGGGAGCGTGGTAGTCAGCATCTCTCTATTCTTTATACCTGGTCCAAATAGAGTGTACTATGAAGGCACCTCTAAACTGTTAAACAGACCAGCCCATGAAAGAGTGCTTTAATAAGTAAGTGCCTGTGTATGAGGACAGCCTATAGAGGGACTCAGACTTGTGTCGGTTGTGTGGACTGCCACTAGACTCTGTGGTTGTGTGACCATCCACACAAGGACCTCCCCCTTTACACCACTGTCAAGTGTCAAACAGGGAACTGTGTAACATGTATCTGACCACCTTCACTGGTATTGCTTTGTTAAGGTGTTTCGTATGGTAGCCAACAAAAAGACAAAAGTTTGGGTGTTTCTCAAACAGCCGAATGTCCCGTTTCAATAGCTGAAATAAATGTCCACCAGTAACGTTCCTGTGTATCTGTTTGCTAAATGCTTTTTGTACGGCCACTGATATGAGACAAAAGTTTGGGTGTTGCTCGTGTCATCACAGCACCGTTCGTGTGGCAGTTTACAGAGGCTGAAAGACATGTGCATCAAAAACACTTGTGCGGTGGTCTGCACACCTGCGTGACTAATGCACAAACTGAACCCCAGACAAAAGTTTGGGGTGTTGCCTTAACAGGTCACAGTCCCGTTTGTATGTCATTTTACGGAGAGTGAAAGAAAAATTCACCTGCCTTTGCACACATGCATATGACAAGGTTGTCAGTGCCAAAAGGAGATGGTCATGCACAGGGACACCACGGAGGAGCCAGAAGTGCTGGGAATGTGATTGATGAGCTATGGCTGGGCTCCAGACACACTCATCAGCTGTCCAAGCCTGGAATGATCCAACTGCTCTGTTTAGAGAGCAGAGTGTCGGGGGTTTGAGTCCCACCTAGGCCAGCAAGTGACTTTCCTTGCATTGACGTCATCCGTCTCATGCATGCATATACGTACTTTCCACTTTTCACCACATTTTGTGGATCACAATTGGTCCATATGTATATACACACTGGAGCATTAGGCAAAAAGGTGCAATCAAGTATCAACACTGTCAAAGTGCATTTCACAGGGAGGGTCTGGTTAGGATGTAGATGGATGGTTTGTGGGAGGCAAGTGAGAGAGGGCATTCACAGCTACATCTGTTCTCTTTGGACGCTCCTTGCTGGCTTACAGAGGTGGGAGGTGGGAGGAGTGATGAGGCGTCTATATTCCATTGGGTGGTGCAACTCACACACACCCAAATGCCAACACCATGTATGTAGCATAGACAGAGAGGAAGAGAGAAATGAAGTTGTGAGGTGTACTCCATGCATGTAGGCGTTCATTTGTGGTTTGTGTCTTTTACTCAGCGCCACTCCACCAACTTGTAGTTTTATGGTATGTAGCTAAGTACCTACAATACCATCAAGGGCATTAGGACAGCATGTATGGTATAGACCAACATTGATATGCACAGGTATAGATTTGGAACTACATAGCAAGGCCCTTTACATGCGCCCATACTAGCTGAGCTACTATGTATGGGGAGCACTTGAAACTGTCAACATCTCTCTGTTTACTCACCTCCACACTCCCGAGACGGAAAAAGCCGTTGTTTACGAATATCTGTCCACGACAGAGGAAGCACGGTTTGCGGATCGGCACTGAATAACACGGCGGGGAGAGACTGCCGTCGAGACAACTAAATAACGCAGCTAGGGAATTTCACAAGCAAAGTATTGCGTCACAGACTACTTCGTGGGTGTGTGTGTATGTCAATACAGATGGCCTTGATCAGCAGGCAGCCCTAATTTCCTGGGCCACTTGACGGCTAATTTGCAATCCCTGGCACAGAACTCATCCCACAAGAAACGCTGTCGTGTCACTTAACAAGTCCTGTCACACAACCAACTTGAGCAACGCTAACACACACTATTTTGTACATAATAAAGTGGAACTGGATAACCTAACGCTGGGTGTATACAGGAAACTGCTCAGAGTATAGGCGGATTAAGTGTACTGTATATATGTACATGTGTGTGTGGGAGACTGCACACATGTAAGTGTTGACGGCCAAGTCATATAAAATGACTGTTTCTTTTCCTCATACACAAACACACACACACACTACCTACATTTTTTTTATTGCATACTGATTTGCCTGTCATATTATTATACACTGCCATAAACAAAAGTGTACTCTATATTAGCATTGTTATGCAGCAAAGAGACGTAAAACACACTAAAGGTCCGTTTTACGTAAACTGTACGACAAGAAAGCTGATAGCAGCATTGACACTGCTCTGTTAGCCTGCTCTGTTAGCCTGCTCTGTTAGCCTGTTCACCGACCTCTTAGCCTGTTCACACAACATTACTCTACTATTGCATTGGGGCTTACCAAGCTACACTGAACAATTGGACACACAGTTTCATTCAAAGAGCAAGCAAGCACTGTGACAGTGTGTCAGCGACAGAGCTCTTCATTACGTCTGTGCGTACAATGTACAATGTACACACATCGCAATCACTTGACTATTCATGTTTTAAAGCAACGAACGAGTAGTCATTCTTGTTTGCCATTCACGAAATTAGCCCGAGTGTGCCCACATGCAGCGTCAGCGGGCCACAATGTGGTCGAAACACACCATTTCCCTGCCGTCTCCCTGTAACAACTCACACAGTGCGAGAGCACACAGCGAGGAGGGCAAAATATGGGTGTTTTTTCTCGTCAACATTGTCGCCGCTGAAAGGAGCGTAAAGGCAGTCCCCCACACTTCCCATGTACAGGCCACTCAATGCTACAAAGAGGTGGCTCAATGGGGTGTTTTGGTCCTGGTGAGGCACACGGCAATCGACTCCACAATTCTCCCGTTCCTAGTAGAGGGTGTACGGACCGCGTTCAATCGTATCCTTCCTAGTATGTGGGGGTCTAGACACCACACAGAGGACACCGCTAACCACTTGACATCACAGGCAACACAAAGTGGTCTTTACACCCACACCCCCAACCCCCCACCACCTTACAGTATAACTGTACCTGTACACTGTTCCATCGGCCTCTGGTTTTATCGAGAGGATAATCGGTCCGAAATCGGGCTCCTCGGTGTAGTAGGTCCAGTGCTCCTTCTGAAAGAAGTGTCGGCGGTAGCTTGCCTCTACCAGCGGGCGCAACTCCGGCGAGGGAGAGATTTGTGGGCAGACACACACATCGTTGTTGCATTGCTGAGGAGAGAGACAAGGGACAATAACATACTGCAATGCAAGTGTACTGCAATGTTGGTTTAGGAGTGCTTGAATTGTGAAATTGAAGAGCAGAACCTTTTTTGAGGTTTTCACTTCACAGCCAGTAAAGAGTCAGTCAGGAAGTGGGGAAACAGAGGGGAAGAAGTGAGGGAAAGTGAAAGCGTGCAGTGTGGTTTGAAAAGGTCACACTACACTTGGTTCTTCCCAGGCTCCATTGGTCTTATTACAAAATGTGAGGCATTTTTAAATTCTTGGCAGGATACTTTTATACACAATTGGAGTCTCAGGTGTCCATTTTATAGCAGTCGATAATAGGCAGGTGAACACATTATACACAAGCCAGCATGTTTTGCTATCTACCACCGAAAATATTTCAATTTCGACTCGTTTTTTTCAGCTTACCTCGCAATTTTTGTGACTAAACTCAATAGTCCAGCCATCGGCTGACTCTATGAACGGACACTCGTTTTGTCTGTGGCCATTAGGACTCCCTTCTCTCTCACCACTACTGATACCACTGTCCTGTTATCACATGTAATGTGGAGGAAATGCATGTAAAGTCAGATAGAGCAGTAAATGTCCTGACACACAAGGAATAATGATACAGGAACGGTGAGCCAAGAGGGTAAATCGAGCAGAGGCATGCTTAAAAGAGAGGAGCAAGGGCTTCACACAAAGCGATATTCTTGAGGGCACACTCACAACTAACTGAATATACCCTTAGATCTTACACACTACAAATGAGTGATACAGTCAATGCACTGTATGGCCACACAGCAACTGGGTGGCCAGCACTGAGATCATGTGTGTACAGTGCATCTGATATTCTCGTCCAACTGTGTTGAATATCACATCCTCACCAGAGAGGTGGCTGGGACCATCTTCTCGAAGGAATCGAGGAAGGAGCGAGTGACGACAGTCGGACTGACCATCTCTTCCCGACCAGACACCAGGGTAGACCGAATCTTTTGGTCAACTCTCTTGAACACCCGAAGCTCCTCCAGCACGGAGACTGCGGACGACGACATAACTGCTGCTTCTTCTCACACCACTCTCTGGCGCCTGAATTTCTCACGCCTTCGGTGTATGGGGGGAGGGAGAAACTGAGCGCTTGGTTTTCTACAAAGATATTGTGTTCCTGCAGCTACCTAGCGAGCTGGCTAAACAAAACACTACACTCTCCGCAACAAATCGGTGTTACAATTTCGCACGTTCAATGGCCAATCCAACAGCTAGACACACACGCATATTCCGTTTAGAGATCGTTACACAGCCAACAATTGTCTCACCTTCTTCGCTTTTCTACCACTTCTCTCTGTCGGACGACCAAAAAACACTGCAGGCCTCTCTACTACTTTTTGGCAGACTGCATCCAAAACCCTTTCTCCGCAGTATGCATGCTGCGGCAGAATCTCCGCCCACTTTAGCGCGTTCATCGAGCGATAATACATTTCCGTCCGCAGCTGAACTCCAATTAAACGATTATAAAGATATATTTTCCCTAACAACGTACATAGCAACCGAATCCGAACCGTCATGGCCACCTACACGCAGACGGTGCATAAGCCGTTTGTGAGGCCATCCCGGACCTATGACTACTTGTATGGTGAGTCAAAGACACCGAAAAACTTTACAGCAGCTCTGTATTAGGTTCCGCAGCATTATCCAGCTATATCCATCTCATACATACACACATGTGCAGACCCTAACTTCACAGTGAGTAGTGAACAGGACCATGCCAAGGAGGCATTCAAAGCACACACCAGCATCGACAGGATTGTAAGTTTGAGCATGTGAAAACTATGAGGTAGAAAGGCAAAGGCACAACAAACAAATCAACTACACACCTAGGACACCTCTTTTATTCCAAGGAAAAATAAAGAGCTGCCCTAGGTGCGACAGGATTGTAAGTTTGAGCATGTGAAAACTATGAGGTAGAAAGGCAAAGGCACAACAAACAAATCAACTACACACCTAGGAAACCTCTTTTTTTCCAAGGAAAAATAAAGAGCTGCCCTAGGTGGGATTCAGGATTGTAAGTTTGAGCATGTGAAAACTATGAGGTAGAAAGGCAAAGGCACAACAAACAAATCAACTACACACCTAGGACACCTCTTTTTTTCCAAGGAAAAATAAAGAGCTGCCCTAGGTGGGATTCGAACCCACGACACTTGCAGTCTAGGCGAGCGCTCTACCAACTGAGCTACCAGGGCAACTCAGCTGGTAGGGGTTCGAATCTACAGCACAACACAACACACGGCAAACCTCAAACCACTGTGCTATGGCACAGTATACTCTCACTTAGCATGCAGTTTCTGTATAGATGTAGAGTAGACCGTTGGTCACGTAGCCTAAAGAAACTGTGAACCATGTGTACACCGCTGTCATCTCACTGGTTCAAATTGTTCACATTGTTTATAACATATCTAAAACGACAATCCTTGCAATGATTGTTTAACCCTCATTTGGTAAAAGAATATTGCTCCAGCTTGTGTATGGACTGTGTATACAAGGACATCTGTGTCATATACAACAGTCACCTCCCTGAGGGTTGGTAAATGTTGTAAACGCCAGACAAGTGCCAGGCGGAGCACCGCAAACAGTTATAGGCATAATTTCACCACTCTACAAATTCCGGTAGCTGTTCACACTACAAGACATGGACATTGCCCGCTGAATTGAATACATGCGCGGTGACGGTCTGCGTACAAATTGCAACACGACCCAACTGTCTTTTTCGGGTCCCACACCTGTACGCAGACAGGTGTAAGGCAGATATATTCTGACATATATGGACTGGAGCCTTGGACCATGCACACACGTTCCTGTCTGGAGAGCATCTCTGCCATGCAGGCTTCTTTTGTGCTGCATCCTACACTTGTAGAGCTCCTGATGTGCCCCATTTCCTGACTAACTCTCTGTCCACCACTAATTAACTACACTATTAAAAATTTTATTTCCCCTATTGTAATCCCTTACACATAATGTCCTTTTCCCCTTTTACACCTACATACAACATATGCAGAGCACTGGTACCCCTTGGTTGGTAGTATGTTAACAACACTGTTCTCCTGAATGAGCATGCTGAAAATTGCACCTGGAGAAAAAACACGCGTGTGCACGTGAAGTTGATTTTAAGCCTTTCATACACATGCCCACTTCATACCCGGGGCTTTACATACATACTTCATGTTACTCTCTCTCTCTCTATCTCCGCAGCACTGTGTCCCTCAGTTCCGGACTATGTTCAGTGTCCTCCGACACTACCCCAGACAGAGGGTGACGCTGGACTCCACTGACCCCGTACCCCGACATGTGCCACGGGTGTGGAGGGGGTACCCCGAGAGACACCGCCAGACCCTTCTCCAGTTCAAGAAGTGTGTATAGATCAGAACGTGGGGAAGGAGAGGGGTATACTAATGTGGCACGACCAGTCTTGCGTGTGGCAACGCTCATCTCTCTGTGACTCTGGCTGAGTCTCAAATCTGATTATTTTCCACGTGCATACACTTTTTATAAGAATCACACGGTAGGATTGTACGTAATGAATAACGAATAAATAGTCTACATACAGTACGGGTGCTACACTAGTTATAGTTACACTGTGTATGCAAACTGGATTTGACTGAGTGAACAGTAACATATAGAACATTGAATGAGTTATGAGTTTCTAGTATGATTCAAAGCCTGTTTTTCACTTCATCTTAATATGTAGTCATACTGACATTTGCATTATTGTCTAGGCAGAATTTCATGGAGTTTTAGAAGAGAATATGTGATGTAATTTCACTCACAGCGTGCACCTCATAACAGTATCAGCCACTCCAACTGCATGACTAGTGTGTGCTCTTGCCCTAATACATGACAGCCTCTGTCTCTCTCCAGATTCAACTATGCCCCAGACCTCCCGGTACCTGAGAAGACCTACGAAAACCCAGAGGCCGGGGGTAGGAACAGGTATCACTACTTTCGGAGGCCTATCATACCCTTCTTGCCCCAGATGCCACCCAGTGTCCTCCTTGCTCCCACCAGGTTCAAAACGAATACCTCGCTACATTATGATTTTAGAACTGTGTGCAATGGATTGATGTGCAACACATGTGGCGTAATAGACGCTTGCACAACCAACAACAGTTTGCTTCGGGGGCTGCACGTCAGTGTCGGGCGTTGTGAAGTATTGTTGACACCTGCCAAATGTTGTACAGGGGCACTAGAATAGGCATGTGATGTTTGGAGAGGTTTGAAAACATGCGTACACCCACAGTACGTGTGTGTGTGTTTGCACGGATCACAGGTTAGGTTAGCATTCCAGGCCTAAGTGAAAGTACACAGTGAAAGTCTGCAGCAATACACAAGGCAATACTGTTCACCTGAAACGTACACATGTGTATGCATGCATGCATGCATGTATGTATGTATAGAGTTTTTTTTTGCTAATTTGTAGTCGAGAGTTGCACTCTGAACAAACAGCCGAACCTGAAAATCTCTATACATAGCAGGTCTATAAATAGCCGCCCCACTCCAAGTTTGTGGCATATACACACTATACAGCATGCGGTCTGTTTGTATACACAATTTAACATATGCGGCTTCACTTTTTTCACACTCGTTCTAAGAACCAGTAGGATTCAGCCATGTCTGTCCGTAGTACATGTCATCTGTCCTTGCTGAGTCTGTACACACTGAGGTCTTAGCTAGGGATGTATAGCACTACGTGAGTGGGTGAGAGATATGCGTGTGTGTGGAACAGATGGAGGACAAAGAGGGAGAATGGGCTGTTTTGTCTCTCTCGCCATTCAAGAAAGAATTCCTCATGTATCCTATTCCGGTCCAACTGAGTGCAAGTGTACTCAAATCATCCAATAATTGGACGGCTCTAATAATAGTGTTGAAGTTTTTAAAATCTCTCTCCTTCTCCCCCTCTCCCCATCCACAGAGTGAATCCTGCAGCTCCACCTGGTACAGGTTATGGTGCTCGTGGTGGCACGGTGAGTGGGGGAGGAGTGAAGAGTGTGGGTGTCCAGACAGACTACAGAGACAGTGAGACACAGACCGAGCCCTACAGCCCGGAATACCTCGTCCGCCCTGGCTCCCAGCCTGAGCTCCTCACACTTGCTTCACTCTGCTACGGTAGACACACACACACTCACAACCATGTTTCACCTCATGATGAGTTGAAGTGTGAACTTAGGGTATGTATTCCAGTTCCTTCATGTCCAGTAGTTTCACTATGTACTGTTTAAAGGAGAGTACTAGGCGTTCATAGGGATTTGTTCCCAACAGCTTGCTGTCCCTCATGTGATTATGAATCGTCACTATTTCTCATAGCATACTATGCCACTACGGCACTAATGCAAGATATTTACTCTTAGAGTGCCTTGTAGGGTGCAAACATGCAAGGTACACAAGGAACTGAGTAACTAAACAATCATACCTTTCAAGTTGTTGCTTTGCTACTGCGTAATACTGTAGTATTTGCAAGCATCTACTATCGGTGGTATTACTAACTGGAATTGGGTCATACAGTATTGTGCAAGTTTCCTCCCTTCCTGTGATAAGTGATGTAATGTGCTAAAACTGCAGAAATGTTACATGTACTTTACAGTCAAGAAGAATGTATTTATCATTGGGTGTGGTTCCTACATACATAGTACATGCAATGTTGTACATGCAATGAAATGGGTGGCCCAATTGCATACTGCCATGCGCCATTTACCACCTGAGGCACTTTGGGGGCACTATAGGAGAGTAGAATATAATTTTGCTGGACATGATAGAGGAGCAGGGAGGGTGACATACTCACTCCAATGGTTGATGTGAGCTACAGGCAAAGGGTGGCCTAACAGGGCTAGGGCGAGGAATAACTGCCTCTCCCCCAAAGAGCCTTAATTACTTGGTTTCTTCCCCAGGGAAGGGGCTTCCTGCTGGGCTGGCGGAGGTGGAGATGATAGAACGAGCACGAGAGAAGCGGCGGTGGGAAGAGGGGCTGCCCCCAATTGACGACCCCAATCAGTTGGAGCGCCGACGGGCCATGATGGAGGAGCAGGAGAGGAGAGAGTGGGAGCATCGCGAGAACGAGATCAGACTGTGAGAACAGAGGGCTATTTTTGGGGGGAGAACAATTTCACAGAGGGCCTTGATCAGTGGTCTGTATGTATGTGTTTCCCAAATACCAGCAAATACGACCTGGGTGTGCTGTGGTTTTTCTTAACACTAATAGGAATGTCCAGCAAATATGACCTGGGTGTGCTGTGGTTTTTCTTAACACTAATATGAATGTACAAGTATTTAGAAAGTTGTGTCTGATGGGAGGATCGATATGTAAGTGGGTAACTTTACATGTACAGATAGCCAAAGGTGTTTGCAATAGACTTTGTGCGACTGTGTGTGCAGGTTGCAGGAGGAGAGAATGGCACTGGTGGAAGAGACAATGAGACAGAGAGAGGCAGAGCAACAGGAGCTCAACGAAAGACGTCTCGAGCACCTCTGGTCAGTCCAGGACTCCACCCACATCTCCCCACACACATCTTCCTGCAGCAGGCAGACCATACCAATTGTCCTGTTTGGCCAACAGTCATGAGTGCCTACAGCCAAAGTGGGCTATAGATACATCCCAAAATTAAGTACAGCAAAATGGTCCAAATTTCACAAAAGTGAATCAATGCCTTGGTATGCTGTGGTTAGTAAAAAAAAAGAGTTTCTATCTGTGTGTCATTGGGGTACGGTATAGGATTAATGTGTCCGTGTGTTTGCTCCATCATCAGGAGTAAACATCGCAGCGAGGGTGAACGCAAACTCCGCAGACTTCGTGCCAACCATGTCAAGAGCCTCCGCCAGCTGAGTGGGAAGGTCGCGAAGGTCACCAGCAGGAGCCGTGGGCGGAACATCATACAGAGTTACACAAACTTTGACTCAGAGGCCAGTGCTATAGTTTTCCCAACCCACACACACACGTACATCCTGTATACATTCTACATGACGGTACTATAATACTGCAGTGAAGGAGTCTCATGTGCACACGTCATTACGCAAACTGAAGCATGGTCTGTGTATACATACACTCAGGGTGCATTAGGCAACCTGTGTGCCAGTATTACTACACTACCATCGTAGACACAATGTTCAGGTTTACGTTCCCTCCCTTGGTATGTTTATGTTCTTCTCTCATGGAATGTAAGTAACATTACTAGAATGCATATTGGCAAGCAAACACGAGCAGTCGTAGAGCATGAACCTTTGAGCTCCTCTACATATTACATACATGTGATATTCACGCATGCGCAACAATCGGAATATTATGGCCATTAAACATTTTAATTCCGAGCAGAACCACCAAACTGCAAAATGTAAACAATCTCCAATTGTTTTAGGTTAGAAAGGGATCAAAAATCAAAGGACAAAATGTACACAAGGGTTTGTGTTCTTCCTCCTCTCTCTGGGTGTCACAGGTGTATGCCCCAATGACCAGGACGGGAGTGTTCCTGGATGCTGGGAGTGAGAAGAACACGGTGCACAGTATGCTCACCAACACACTAGAGGGACTGCTGGATCTGGAGGCCTCTCTGCCTGCCTTCATCACTCAGCCAAGGTGAGAGCTCGGCCTCAGCTATTATCTACTGAAATTTTTACCCTCACATTTGCTCGCCAAGGGCTGCAACATTGGTCATATCTACAGAACTGAACTGGTAATGATATCACTTGAACAAAATTTTGCGCCTCTGCGTTTCAATTGTTACTGTTGACCGATCACAGGTCCACTTTAATAGTGTGTGCAGCTAGTCTCTTGACTGGATCTCAATCACCATATACTGTCGTCACCATATACATGTACGTACTGTGTGGCTGTGACTGTAGGGTGTGTGCCCCTGAGAGGGAGAGGAAGGTGTGTGGACTGGCAGCCAGACAGAAGGTGAAGCTGGGGAGGATCCTGGACCAGGTCCACTGTGACATCATTGCTGAGAGACAAGCTGGTATTACTACGTTATAGCTGAACTACAGTTTCATGAAATAGCACCTGGCTATGCAGATTATCACAATGCACTTACGTGCCTTTTTATGGGCTTTTTTGTTTCACTTTCCCTTATAGGACTGCCTTAATGATCAGCATATTGTATGCATGAAAGACAAGAGAGTGTGGCAGAGCATTATGTTCCTCTCCTCCTGTCTTCATCTACTGTATCTTTGATAAACACCAGGTCAGCAGACTCCCAGGCCACTGCGACTGCTGCAGAAGGTGGAGAAGCCAGTGCCCCGCCCACCAACTCCCACCTGCCTTGCCCCTCCCCCCGGGGTGGAGGAAAGAGAGCAGGCCGTTGTTCTGCTCCAGAGAGTTATACGAGGTCGCTCCAGACAAGCCAAGGTTGTTACGTACTAACACACTCTTCTTTTCTGCATAATGTGTCAATGTCTGTGTTTTTGATGCATAGTTGTATGCTGCTAAGGAGCAAAGGGCAGACCTGATAAGAGAACTGCGGACGACCCACGCCCTCCAATCTCCAGAGCAGGCACAGAAAAGACAGGAGAAGAAGGACATCCTCAGCAAACAGACACACAAGTCAGCCAATCACATTTAGCAACACCTAATAGTGGCCATAGTACCAGTGCCATACACAGGTTGTTGCTATCTTAGGCTCCGACACCCCAACAGCCCTCCTATAAGCCATGCCATTCCGCCTAGTTCCACAGCCACAACTTTTGGCTGGACAGCCATGAGCACGAAACAAGAGCGCACACCTATAATAGTGCGTGTGATTGTGTGTATAGGTTGGTGGAGGAGCACCGAGAGGCAGTGGTGAGTGATGCAGTGGAAGAAGGAGCAGCTCTCTGTGTCGGAGACCAGCTGGACTTCTTGCAGAAGGAACTGGAGAGACTCCAGGTGTGTGGTGTGTGGGGGACACTGTCTCGTCATGATGGCAGTTTGAGCAGCATCTCGCCTAGACATTGAACATAGAGCAACGCCAACACTCCATCCAAAAGTTACATGCCTATCATGCCTTAAAGTAGAAAGTAGGAATACTCGCTCATCGCTAAACACGTCATAGTGGTTTAAGGGGATTGAATATTGACGAGGCACAAGTGAAATATTTCCAGGCTTAAATTTGGAAAGGGAACCAATTATTATTGCCAGAGGAAAAAAGCCTGCATGATGGTATTGTCTCTGGGTGTGTGTGCTCGCAGGAGGAGCGTCGTGTACATGCGTTCCTGCTGCTGGCAGAGAGACAGAGGAGGATGAGGGAGGCCGAGGAGAGTGGACGGCGGCAGAGAGAGGAGAGACTCAGGAGGATCCACGATGAACTCTTCAAACAGGTAGCTATTGTACACACATGTTCTGCAGTTTTACCTATGTGTACAATGTACAACAAAGTGTGATGATGACCCCTCCCTACTGCCTTTGCTGTGCATAATGAGCAATAAATTTACAGTGTCACTGCGTGGTATATATACCTTCTGTGCAGACGGTTCGTGTACACAGTGGAACGGTGGACTCATTCCTGGAGGATGTAATCCTGTCCTCAGTGGAGCGGACGGCCGACCAAGAGGCACGAGAGGAGGTCCGCAGACAGGCTGACACCATTAATACCATCGCCCACCAGTTTGTTCACACGTAAGCCTCACAATGTCCATCATATGGGACCTTAGTTACTGTGTTGTTGGTAAAGTGAGGTGACGGGGAAGGAGCTGGCAGCTGAACTGGTCTACTCTTTCCTTCTACCAGAGGTCGAGAGGCAGACCACACGAGAAAAAGGTGGTCTTTTAAGTAAAGATATCATGCAGTTTGTGTTTTAATTAGTGTCGACTTGATCTCCTGCAGTTCAGAGAGACCAGCGTCGCCACCTGTTAGCTGCTCATCGTATCATCCACTCAACTGTTTGTACTGATATTGCAGCTCAGAGTACCACCAGTGGACCCCCACCCCCACCCCCACCCAGTGAGGGTGCCACCAATGCACCACTAGGTACCACTGCTAGGCCACCAGCTACCAATGATGGCATGGTTAGCACTGCAGACTCCACAAGCCAAAAACTCGAACATGCTACCACTACCATACCGTTAACAACCAATGGCCTAACTACTACTGATTTTGAAACCACCACCGAACCAAAGACTACAGACAAAGAGACCACGACCAGCGACAGGGATACGACTACCGATGCAGATACCACTGGTGTGCCACTAGCCACTGGTGGGGACACCACTACCACACCACAAACCACTGACAAAGAGACCACTGATACCACTGCTGTGCCACTAGCCACTGGTGGGGATACCACTGACGAAGAGACCATTGATGCTACCACAGGTGCACAAACCAATACTACGCCACAGACCACAGACAAAGATACCACTACCACACCACCCGGTGACCAATAAGGACGTGCCTTGCAGGTTTAGTGCAGCAAAACAAACACTAAACTATAGTGATAGGGTAAATGGTGTGCCCATTGGAATACAGAAGCATACAATATGTATATTCATACTATACACAATAATTATGCGAAACGACACATGGCGTATACACATTATTAGAGTTAGAGGTGTGATGAAGTTACAAATCAACTATGGTAAAGAGGTTTGAATCACATGCAAGAATCGCACAGCGATAACAGTTCTAGAGCAAAGGATGATGAAGTGAAAGAGAGCAGAGAGGACTATACAGTGGTAGCAGAGAATACTTGTTGCATAATAGGATTGTTGGAGACAGGATTCAAAAAATAATATGATTAGTAGGGTATACCATAACACCAGGAGCGGTAGTGAGAGAAAGTGATGGATTCTATAAAGCGGGGGTCATTGAAGGCACCGCCAATCGAAGCGGATGTTGGGGGCATGTGTGAGTGGAGGGATCGGTGGATCAATAAAGTCCCAAGTGCTGTTCTTCCCGTACTCGCTCTCCTGTGCCACGCACATCCCGAGGTAGGGGATCTTCTGCACCATCTTGGTGAGCTCCTGGGCTGAGCGAGGCTGGGCCCCAACCAGCTGCCGTGTGCACGCCTCCAGCGACGCCGCGTGACCCACAAACATCACGTTCCCGCTGCTCTGCCCGAGCGTCTTGAGGATGAGTCGTGTGATGTTGTACATCCGCTTGTAGAACTCAAGGTGGGTTTCCTTTGGCTTGAGGTCATTGAGTGCCACCTGCGAGAGGTACGTGGGGTCAACCTGTAACCCGTTCTTCAGGAAGTCGTTGGGGGTCATAAACGTAGGGAATCCCCCCTGGCACCACGCGAGCCACTCAAAAAGTCCGTTTTCGATCCGAATCTTCGCCCCCGGTTCCCCGAGCCCCTGGAGTATGGCGTGAGCGGTCTGGACGCAGCGGAGCGCTGGCGAGGAAAAGACGTGTGAGATCCTGATCCCCTGGTCCCGCATGCCTTCCCCCGTCAGTCGTGCCTGGAACAGCCCCACCTCTGTCACAGGAGCATCCTTGAGGAAATCGTTCGGTCCGCCTTTCCTCTGTGGGACCTCTTTTGGCATGTTTAGGTTCCGACGATGGTAGTAGCCGTCAGGGTCAAAGGACAATTGGATCCACTGCTTCCCAAATGTCACGTCCACCCTCTCTGCATGTCTCAGTATGAACAGTCTCCGTGGGCCTGCGAAGGAGTTTAAAATGAGTTTGTAACGCAGCATGTTGGGTGTAGTTTAGTTAGGCAAACAGTGTGCAAATATAAGTTTAAAAGAGCCGATGCAAACTTGATTCTCATGAATGGGTTGTAACGCTGTGTGCACCCTTGCTTTTGCACACAAACTACATCAGACCTATACAGTGCCACAGTGCGTGCTACGTAGAGCAATATTAGCAACAGGACACACAGGGACTTTTGGTTAAGTTCAAGCTTTGGACAATGGGATTGCTCATGAACCCTGATTGCTCTTACACCCAACATCTTCTGGCAACTCCAGGGCACTACTAACAAAGTGTGTGTTACGGGTAAAGTGTGTGTGTGTGTCGCGCCACAGGGCAGAGAGTAATATATGTGTGAGCAGAATACGGAAGACAGGGTTCAAATCACTTGGCGTAGTGGCAGAGGGCGAGGCCAGGTGTTTGCTAACACGGGACTTGTAACATCTCACACTAGCTAATGCCTGTAATTGACTCTCAGTAGGGTATACATAATTATACAGCTGTGCTAACTGAGGTCACACTACCTGCGTATAAACACACACATGCACACACACACACACACATGTACACATGCACAAGCATATGCACGCACACACACACACACAAAATCAACCAAACTTGCATGATGAACACATATATATATATATATATGAAGAAGCTATGTCAGTCTTCCACCTACAATACTAGGTTTCGTGCAATGGCCCGTAATACGTTAAATACTATACGTAAAGTGTACAGTATCTATGGTCATACTATGCACGTGAGGCCCTCACCAGAGACAGGAAGAGGGGGTGGGCTGCTGTCCTCCACGGTGTGGTTGCTGCCATTCACCATCATCTCCTTGCCTGCCGATGATGAATCCTTGTTTGCCTTCTTCCTGTCTCGCGGCTTCTGCACCTTGGCATACAGCTCCTCCACGTTGTTCTGCTGTGGCAAAAGACCTGCAACACAAGTGGAGGAGAGAGAAGAGGTGGACGAGTAGCTTGCGACTTACTTATTTCAAGTCACACATACACATGGTCTATGTCAGACCTCACAAGGGTAGCTTACTAGTAAGAGGTCAGTTTCGAACATATACAAACAGGGAACAAAATAGTGATAACCAACACCAGAGTGATTAATTCTCACCACAGAGAAAGAGAAAAGCCATCGGAGCAACGAGACGTGGGCTAGAGAAAGTGAATGTAGGAAAACCCAAACAGCCCTGGCAGTTTGCAAAACAAACACATACTCACTGCATGGAGATTGCAATACTTCTGCTGTGTATCGGGTTTCATTGTCCTTCTGTTTACACTTTATGCCCCTTCTCTTATGTATTGCTTCATGGTTACTCTATGAACTGCGCTTTATGCTCGTGCTTATGTAATGTGTCTATAGGCAGAATGCACATGTATTGTGTTTCATTGGATGAACACCCATACGTACCAGCAGCGCTGTCATAGAGTGGTTCGTCTTCTCTCTTCTCTCGTCTGAGAGTGGACGGAGGACGGATGGCCTTGGCTATGGCTGGCAGGGAGTCACTGCCTGATACTAGCCACGATCTGCGGGAAAAAAAACACAGAGACATATGGAGAGAGACAAAGGAAGACAGAGGAAGAGAGACAGTGGGGAAAGGGTTGACAGCAAAGCCAGGAAAAGCGCAGTAGCTTTTCAATCACACGGAAATAGCTCGTTTCCTTTCTTAGCTGTTGGAGACTGGTCATAGGAACACAGGCTCAAAACAATGAGATAATTTAAACCCATGCTGACCTAATAGCTGAACGCACACGTATTTAGTCTGTCTCTTCACTCTTCAACAAGAAGTGTTAAGTCACCTGTGCAGCATCCAGCAGGCAGAGTCCTTGACCTTCTCCACATAGTTCCCAGGATAGAGTCCTGAACAGCCAGTGTTGTGAGAGGTGCCGAAGAACCACCCTCGTTCTCTTTGGAGAGATGGAGAGAGGGCGAGAGGGGAAGAGAGGATGGAGACAAGAGAGGGAGAGAAGAGAGGGAGAGACGGAGAGAGGGGAAGAGAGGAAGGAGAGAAGAGACGGACAGGGAGTAAAACCTCCAAAAAAGGACTCTCCGAATAAGGACACCAGTTCTGCCCCTACTAACCATTATAATGACCCCTGAAATAAGGATCATAAGGACACTTTCGACACCCCCAAGGTGTCCTATATATACGTATTCGGTGGTTTCATTGTATTGTGATGAAGTTACCTGTGTGTCCACTGTCAGAGGCGTGGACGTATACATAGTCACCATCGAAGAGAACAAGCTCGTCGTCCTTGGTCGGTGTGTAGGGAAACAGGACCTTGTACAGCTGGGAGGAGGAGGTGTGTGTGAACCAACAGACCAATTACCGGTATTCAACATCTCCTATCTGGATTCACAATACATCACTTGCCCCTGTCGTACCGTGTCGCGTGTCGCTAGGATAGAATCCTTCGCAGTGCGACGTGATGCAGCACGGCACGTTGGGGCACTGCAACATTATTGTCTAAAGAAGGTCCTGGTACCACCCCACCCACCTCCAAACCCCTCATCACTAACCTCAGAGGAGCCCTGTCTGGGGTCCCGTGAGTACAGTCTCAGCTCCCACTTGGCGGGTGACTGGGGATCGATCTTGGTCCGGGCCAGCTCCTCCAGCGTGCTGTGGTGCTCTGCAGTGTACTGGTGGCTCAGTGTCAAGTGGAGCTGTCGTCGGTGTGGGTCAACACTCACTCCTACAATCACCACGTTATCCCGAGGTAATGGAAGAGAGGGAAAGGGAAGGTGACAGTACGTAAGGGCTAAATTTAACAAAGAAACAATAGAGCCCGGTGAAAAATATTTAGTAACAGTTTCTAAATTGAGCCCTTATACTGCCAAATTCCCTTTAAGGAGTTCTGTGAATAAGTATATACTGTGTTGTAGAGAACAGTACATGTATGTATGTACCGATCTTCTTGGCTTCAGATGTAAAGATTTTCATGATTTCTCTCAGCCAGCTCGCCTCCTCCTCCTCTAGAAATAGACCAATGTAGCCCTGTACGTTGTGCGGGATGGAGGAGAGAGGATGGAGGGGAGAGGATGGAGGGGAGAGGATGGAGGGGAGAGACAGAGAAGGAAGGAGAGAGGATAGGAGGGAAGGGAGGGAAGGAGGGGGAGTAAAAACAGGAAAAGAGGGAGAGAGCAATTAATGTACTAGTTAAAACACACCTCTGGCAACAAACAGCTGTAATACACAGATGCCCGCACTGTGACACACATGTGTAAGGGGATGGTGGCCTCTTTTGTAATTAGTGGTCGGCAAATGGTGTTAAAGTCTGGCCGTGGGCCCAGAATGTCTTGTTTTGCAAGTACAGCCTGGGTACCGCCAGTGTATAGTACTGCATAGTCCGTATATGTCTGTGGAGCATCAGTATAATTATTTGTCTTGTTCAACTGCGTGATTATAGTCTGCGGCAGTTGCAGCGGGTTTTGATCAATGGGAAAGTGTGTGAGCATGCACCTGTGTGTGCACTCACAGTATCTCACTCTACTCTATGTGTGTGTGCTATCCTGAGGGAAGTCGCCTAATGCTCATGTTCTGAGCACGCGCATGCGAGAACGAAAACTGGGGAAACGGAAGTAATTCGGGATGAAAATTAGAACGAAATGGCACCATACACTATCCACATACAACTATTGTTGTGAGTGTTATTTGGCACAAGCAGTAGCCACAACAAGGTCGCGCAGAGAATTCCAAAAGAATGGGCAAAAAATTTTTTTACCAGCACTGGACATGTACACATAACTGTAGAGCTAGGAACGTATGCAGCTGGCTATGAACAGGGGAGAGTTGGTTACCTGAGCAACGTAGCGTTTGAGTCTGATATCCTTGGGGGCACTGGGCAGGAGGTTCTCAATACTCGTCTTCAGGCAGTGGATCATTGATGCAACCAACGAATCATCACACTATAAGGTTGGAGAATGTTTGCATGTGCATAATAATCATATATTGGTATTTTTTACATGAGTTAATGGTTGCAATAGAGCTTTCTTCAAACAAAGACTAAATATAAGTTAGATGCCGAGTCCAGGAAACTACGCGCATAAGAGAGCCGCGGGGGCCCTGGGCTGTCGGCGTTCGAGCCCAGCCCAGCTCTAAGGCAAGGTTCACAATACGTTGCACTGCCCCATGTGGTGCATCAGGAGGCCATTTCTATCTTCGCGGAACGATGCGACGGGGCAATGTGATGTATGGTTAACCCAGCCTACCTAAAGCCAATGCTAAGACACACAATACTTATGCACGTACAACTACCATTATCGTTGAAAAACCGGGGACCTGGTACTTGGGGCCAGCTCAAGTTCAGAAACAATGCTGGAGGAGGTTCAGCCAGTAGCAGCTGTGCTGTGACTACATCTCGTGGGTAAAGTGTATAGCGACCATGCACATTACACAAAAAGTCCCTCGTGTGTTCAAAAACCATACGTACGTATGTACATGATACTGCCCGGTGTGTTTGTGCTGATTACTGCCACTGTGCACCACGGTCCATGGATGTATAGAGAGTGCAGCTAGTAGCTCTTTTAATGTGGTTACATGGGTAGCACTTTAGCCAAACAGGGGCGGGAGGGCATTTTTAACGTACGTATGCACGTAGCAAGTAAACTTGGTGCACACACGTATGTATGTATGTTTGAGCGCTGTGTGTACACCAAGTGCTTGGCACAGTGGAGGCGAAGCAAAGACAGCTAATGGCTGTGTCCTCAGAGAAGAAGGCTACGGGACTCAATATCTGCTGGAATTAAGGACAAAGCTAACAATACATTAATCCAATAGCGTCGACCGTTCCTTTCACCTGATGCCAGGGCAATAAATGCAGTGTTCTATACACCGTACACCATGTGTACGCCTGTACAATTGCGGGTTATTCTAGAAATAAGAAATTGTGAAGGAGGTAGGGTAGGGCAAAACTTAAACAAGTCGTATCATACTAATTTGCTGCTTGTTTCGAGATCACTTTCGAACCTCTGAATGAAGGAAATATTCTCTGTCAATTTTCCCCCAATCTCAGTGTGTTGATGTTCCAGTGTACTACCTTACACCACAGTCACTTACTATACCATCTCTCTACTCGCTTTGGTAGCGCGTGTTCGTTACATAATGCATGTTTTTACACTGAAATGACTGCATGTTTTGGCAATTCCATTTCGTGACCTAAACAATACATTTGAACCGACAACTTCCTACATGTTACACAAAGACAAGTGTCCCAAGTCACAGAGTGTATTTGCATAACAAAATGAGATACGTGGCTTGTTGTACACAGGATTTGCTAAACTAGAACCTGACGAGAAAGTAGCTTAAATTTTCCTTGAAAATACATACATACAAACACTTCAGCAATGGTGATGGAACAAGAAGAAGTGTGATTATTGACCTGGAAATACTGGCAGAGAGTGACGTGAGGGTCCGACTTGTGTGCTCCATTTCTCCCGCTGCGATAGAGTGTCTGCTCCATGTACTCGTCCAGCTGGTTCCCTAGGGTTCCGAGAGGACAGGCGTAGACTATGAACTCTCTCGGAGAGCTCTTGTCGAGGTCTGGGTCGAATGCATGGGATAGCAACCTGGAGGAGGGGAAGGAGGGGGGAGAGAGGATGACTAGGTAAACTCGTCATAGTTCAAGTATCTAGTGAAGACCATTGAAGCTTGAGGGAGAGAGGGAGGAAGGGGTGGGAGAGTAAAGGAGGGAGAGAGAGGGAGGAGAAAGAAGGGAGGGAGGAGAGAAAGTGTGTCTGTACATAAGAAGAGCCGGGAGCCATCCCACTGCATAACTAAGCAGACGGCCTATGTGTAGCTAAGTGGACACGATTTTATGATGATCTCTGAAGAAAACGCTGCCGTCCAATCGACTAACGCAGACAGAGCGCTCAGAGGGGGAAGGAGCGTAACCGGTGAACAAAAAGACATTACAGTATATGGAAGGTCAATTGAGATCACTAAAGCATAGCATGCAAGCAAAAGGACAAGACAGAAGGCGCAGGTACACAGTAGCAGGTGTGGCGTCATTACACGGAGACTTGCTTTAAAGGCTCTGGTTCGAAGCAATGAAAGGAGTCAGGCTCCAGTCCTCTTCGGCCTCGGCCTCACTCCACGCGATTCCCCTCCCCTCTCTCTCCTGCTTCTGTACCCTGGTCTCCACCAACTACATGCTTCCTCTTTCCAGTGTTCTATACAACACACTAGCGATAGCTACTTTAAACATCTCCGCCACGTACAGCTACTACTATATAACACAGGCCCACTATGCTGCTGCTCGTCCCGTACCATAGCACGTCTCCTAGAAATCGTATACTACGGTACAATGTATAGTCTGCTGTAACGAGTGGAAGCTAACAGACGTAGTCAGACGCGCAACTAAAACACACGTGTGATGGTGAAGCAAGCAGAGGACATGGAGGAGAGCAATGCTTGCAGACACACACACACACTCACATCGTGTGTCCACATCCGTCCTTTTCGGAAGCAAGCGATGGCATGGTGAGCGCGGACATAGGGCACTGGGTGTGACAGCGAGACACACCACACGCACGTACTACTTGACCTATACATTA